CCATTTAATTTGTTTGTTTCACTTTCGAAGAACTGTTTCGCAGGCGAAACCGCCATCTCAATCTGGTAGTTCAGAATGATCTGAACACGAGACCGTAATAGTACTCTTTCTGGCCTCAAGATGGTTCACAACCACACAGCGCGACGCAGAGGTGTTGGTATTTGGCAGGGCGGCGGGTAGATCCGCGCACAATGAAACCGCGCCACAACGTTCGGCCTGAAACGGAATGCAAAATACGCGGCCCCGGCCGCGCGATGACTGCGGTCCAGGCCATCCAGCTTCCGTCCTCGCTTAGATGGAATGCATATATAACAAAATGTTCGGCGCCTGAAACGGGCTTCAGTTCACCGCCCCGCCACACACACTTTTGACCCAGCTATGTTCACGAATTCGGCGAAGACGTCTTTTCGCAACTGTACGTGTTTCGGTGGCGCGTTTGTGGGCTTGTGGGCTGATCCGGTGTGTTGTGCAGTGTACGCCGTTGTGGTCGAAGGACCGTCGAGGACGGCTTTAAGCCAGCAGAAGCAAAAGCAGGAGGGCAACCTTCCGGTGCGTAGGTTGTACAACCGTGGCTACCAGGCGCTGACATCCGTGCAGCAAGCGCCAACCCGCATGCGCTCCCAATCACTCGACGAAACACCCTTGCGCCCGGTCCTGCGCCCGTCCTCGGACTCATTCGCCACATACGCGCCACCGAGCGCAGGCATCCCGCGGCGCCCGAGCTTCCAGCGTACGCGCTCGGTACAGTTCGAAGATCTGCCGCGCCCATCGCAGATGTACGGCCGCCGCACACGGAGGAGGTCGCAGAGCAAGAGCATGTGGGACCGCTGGAGCGCGCTGTTCGCCACGGGCAGCAACTTGAATATGCAGAGGAGGTGGCCCTGAGCGGTCGAGGGATGGGATGATGGCTCGAAAGTTACGATGCTTGGATAATGATTGGGACTGTTGATGCTCTTCACGACTTCTGGGTTTTACGAACTGTATCATTCTTTCCGTCACGGACTGGCCTTGGACGCTTCACGCTCGAAGCGATTGCATATACCTGTATCATTATCGCATACCCTCCATATTCATGCTCGAGTTCACCGCTTGCCATATTCAGTACTTATGTGATCTGCGCGCCCAGCCGCTGAGCGCGATGAGAAGCATCAGCGGGCTACGATCCCGTCTGCGGTCAAGTTCGCCAGTCAGCGCTCCAACGGCCGCAGGGAGAAGCGCCGGTTGCGAGTAGCGATCTGCATAGCCATAGATGGAATACACACGGCTACGCGCATTGTATAGCGAGAACAAGGCAGTAGACTTGGCAACTTGGAAGAGTTGAACGAGCCGAAACAAGGACGTCAGAACGTCTCCCGCGGGATGCACTGCCGCAGTCGCCGAGCCATCGCCGAGCGCTCCAGACCTTCGCGGCTTGAAATGGAGAGGGCGTTGCCCTTGGAAAGTACAATAGTGAAATAGAGCTTTCCGCTCTTCAATACAGAGCGTAGCGTAGTGATGGCGGGAAGAGAACAAGGGGCCACTGAACACGAGGCAGGGATTCAATTACTTAAACAAAGCCCCCTATTGATGTTGTTCTGCCTTGCGCAGCCCGGCGTTGCGTTGCGCGATTCTCGGTTCGGGTTAACCTCCTGGCGCAGGCACGCTCCATCCATCCGGCCCACCAGCTTCTCGAGTTCTCTTCCTGCTTTCACGATGAGAGCCTCGTCCTCTCTTTCAATGTCTATCCTCGCTATACCCGCTACCGTCGTCAACGCTACCGCACTCCAATTATCAATACATAACCCGCCCCATCCGGCTGACCGGAGAGATTCGTCGGCCTTTGCGGACCCGAGGGATGGTGGCGGCAGATGGCTTGACGTGCGTTTATACAATACATCGCTGCGCAGAAATAACGAGGCTGAAGGGTATACTGTAGCTCGTACCAGACTCCGGAGGCCAGGGCGAGCCTTTGAACGTCGTCATCGCTGCGACGTCCGACGCCGCCGTGCTCGTGGAGCAACAGAATGACGGCGGTCTCATCAACTATTTCCAGTGCGCATCCCTCTATCCTCATCACTCCTCTCGCTGAGACTGATCTGTCACTACTAGATCTATTGGCTTTGCGAACGAGTGTTTAGGGCAGCACGAGGGTTCACACCAGCAGGCCAATCTGGGCGATGGGAACGGTTACTGTGCGTCGCCTTCCATTTCATACCGGCTGTACCGGACTGGACATAACACACGACTGACACGCGTGGGCTGTAGTGAACGAGTCGGCCGTGATACGATGGGATTATGGAGATGCGGTGCTGGGGACGTGCAAGGAGAGTATAGAGGGCGGGAACCACTTCCGGTATTGGATACAGAACGGCGACAAGGCGAATACGTGCGTGTCTTTCGCCCACTCGGCTGTGGGTATGAGCTTTGGGCCGGGGGTGCTGACGTTTGTGGCGTGGGTAGCGGCGCTGTGTTCTTGGCTGCGTCCTACGAGATGCCTGCAACAGGTGCGTCATCTATTCGTCGCGTATGTTCGAGTATCGCAGACTGACTTCGTGATTGCAGAAAGCCACAATGTTATCAAGAATGGGTGCGCAGCTCTTACATCGCGTTCGTCCTGTTTACAGAACTGACCATGGGCGCTCCCTCCTTGCCAAATATAGCTACAACCTCGGCCGGTACGTCCATCCTCATCACACTCGCCCTCCACCGCACTCTAACATATGATCCTGCTGCACAGCGATTGGCTAGTCGGAAACGCAACTGCGCAGTCCTCCACGATCCCCACATTGAATGTCACGAACCAGACGTCCTATTCAGGTCAAACCACGATGAACGGATACGTCTACCAGACGAGCGTGCAGTATACGTCGGGCTTGTTGGCAAACTCGAGTGACCAAGTGAATCATCGAGACACTGTCGCTTTGAGTGGATTGCCGGCGGTCGATGGATTGGTGGCGGTCATGGAAGTTAGGATATTGCAGAAGCCTGCGTCGACTTCGACATCTGGGTGCGTACTTCTCTTACCTTTCTGTAGTCGTCTATGCTGACGATTCTGGGACAGTGCGCCGGCGCGCTGGACAGCACGAACGCTTACGTCGCTACCATGTCTCCTGCTCCTTGCTCTCACAGTCGCTGCTTCATCACTCTGATTATACACCCTCCCGTTAGCCTGCTACACCCCGGAACTCTCGACCACCATGAATCCAGTTACGCTCGGACCTTGAACCTGCTAGACCCCCACCATCGAATGAGGATAGAGACGGTCTAATATCGCTTGTTGACCACTGCATCATCCCTTGCCCTGCGCTGCCCCACGCCCATCTACCTACCTACCTTGCCCAACCTTTGCATTTTTCCTCCCCTACCATCGATCGCCCCATTTCTTGATTGATGCATTCATCGTTCACACTGCACATATTATCTATGGCTTGCCCTTTGCTATGAACACTAGACCCGGACAGTTCCTGCGCCAGGAAGCGCTTCTCGAGCTGCTTTGCTATGTTTTTCTAGAGCTCACTTTACATCCTTAGATATGACAAAGATATTCAACATCAGACGGAGTTGGGCGAGGAGGATCGCGGCACCTGAGCACAATGCGCTATCCGCTTTGGGCGAGAGCGTTGTCAGGTGCTCCGCAGGCGCTTATGGGTCCTGTATGCGCACAACAAAAGGTAAATGTCGCTAAGGGCCGTATTGGAGTGCAGCCGCGCACAGCGCCGGGTGTCAAATGCTTGAGACCCAGAGGCGCCCAGGGGGGATGCGGCGCGGGAAGGGGGAGCGGGCGGAATGAATGGAAATGCAAACGAGGGAGATGAACGCATCGCGACGTCGGGGCGTCGCGACGGACGCCTGCGCGTCGCCAGAGACCCGAACAGAGCTCGAGACGGCGAATATTGTACGTTCAGACATCGTTTTACTGTATGGGCACATACAAGGGCCCGAGCATTGTGTTCTCGATTTGGATGCTTGGTGGAAGGGTGAGAGACAAGCAATATGTGAAGCGAGCGCCCACTGCGTGTTGTCCCACGAGGCCGGGTGGAGAAGACAGGCCTCGTTCCTTGGCTCTGACCGTCACCCTCTGTCCGACACGTACGCCAACCTCGCCGCCGGGCGTCGACCTGCTCGGGTCACATCGGGACATCACACTTAGTCGGAGGCGGGTCCTCGGTCCTCGCCGTCGTCCTCGCGCGCGTCTAGCACGTGTTGGGGCCCCGAAGGGCTAATCGGACTCGATGACACCGCGGCCTGGATTTGTGCCCAAGCGACGACCACTCTCGGCCATCTTCCTCGGCGACCCCTCCACCTCCTCATCCGGCTCGCCCTCTTCCCTCCCCGATCTCCCGGAACCGCCCAGCCCGGGTGCAGAGTCGATCGATTCAAACGCCTCGGGCCTCCCTTCCCCGCCCGCGACGAACTCGACGGGCAGCGGAGGCGACGAGGGCAGCGGGAGCGTCAGACGGAGGAGCGTGTCGGACAAAAGCGCCGATTTTTCCATGGCCAGCAACAGGAGGAGGAGCAGGGGATCCAGTCCGGGCGACGACGAAGAGGGAGAGGACACGGCCAGGTTCAGCCACGCGCGGAGACAGTCGAGCCAGACGACGACGGACAACGCCGCCGCTTTGCAGCGCGTCATGAGTCTCACCCAGAGGAATCGGATGGTGCATACAATATCCATCACAATAAATGCTCATATATTTACTTGCCGCAGGCCATGGAAAAGCTCTCCCGATTAAACTCGCCTTCGCCCGCCGGCCGTTCAGCACGTTCACCGCTACCGCCGTTGACCGGCCCGCCATCCTCCGCCGCATCCTCTTCCTCGTCCTCCTCACGTGCATCCCACACGCACGCCCACTCGTTTCCCTCCTCCAGCCCGGGCCTATCCGGCTCAGAAACCGAACGGGAGAAATACACCTACTCGTCCGATGAACTCTCCAACACGCCGCCCGCCAGCATATCTCGCTCAAGCAACGATCCGCGAGAACGCGTTTTATCCCTTCCGACTTCGCCTCCGCGCACCCGCCGCGCCGGCAGCCGAACATCATCTCCTGGCCCATCCATCGCGTCATCGACGCAGAGAACGCCGAGGAAAAGAGTGTCGCTTATGTCCGCGCCGGACTCGGACGTGGCGACCGCCGCGTTGGCCGCTGTGGCTTCTATGCGGAGAAGCCCGACTCTGAGCGCAGGGAGGAGAAGCAGGCAGCCGTTGCCCAGGGAGTTCTTTGACGGTCCGGACGGCAGGGTATGTTGCATTTTTTCCCCAAAAGGCCTTTTATATCTAACCACTGCGGTTAGGCCTCGAAAGAACCCTCAACACCTTCGAAAGCGACGATGCGCTCGCTTGCTAGTTCACCTTCACCACGCAAGAACTCTACCGCCCTCCGCGACTCCCTTCAACTCTCGCCGCACAAGCTCCCCCAACGCACATCCTCAATGACGGCTCGAGAAGCGGTGGCCAAGGGACACTCAAACCGATGGCAGTCTGAGGATCTCAACGCGCCGATGTACGACGACGAGCTCACCACCACTGGACGGCGACAGGCTGTCAGAGGTGGGAGCGGGAGCATGGAGAATACGCTCGGCACCAGGCTCGTGGGCGATAGTCTACGTGCCGCGGGGATCGGCATGCGCAGGGAAGGCGCCGCCGACGATCTTTTCTCTAGCACATCTTCAAATTCTCACGAGACATCACCGGACAATGTACGCGAGCGACCGCCGAATGGGCGCTCATCGTCGGTGCTGTTCGATCCGCGTACACCTGCGCACCGCGAATTCGCCCATGCGCGCCCGGCTACGTCCATGGCCGAGTTCGGCTACGCTTCCAACGCAATACCACAAACGGCTCCTCCGGCTGCACGCTCGCATACATCCCAGTTCATCGAGCGCAACCGTGAAGGCATTGGTATTCAGACCGCACCGCGCACCGCATCGAGAGCTTCGGCTTCGGATATGCCGCCTCCACCTCTCCGCGCGCCGAACTTTACCGAACGGACGTACGGCTCGCCTAGGCCTAGGATGAGAGAGACGACGCCGACACAGTCAAGACCGACGAGTGCCGTTGACGAGCAGAGTCAGGAGCATCTGCGACTTGCGTCCGAAGCGCTCAGTCTATTCGATACGCAGCTATCACGCCTGGGAGATTCGGGACAGATCGCCAGTACGGTTGTGCCGGACGTGTTCAGAGATGCTCAGGCGCTCGTCAGGTTCGCCGAGCAGTTGAACGGCATGCTGCGTACGGGCACCAATAGGGCGCTCGAGAGGCAGATTGAGGAGGAGGTCGAAGACGGAGCGGGCGCGAATGAGGTGGATATGGTCGTCCTATGGCAGGATGTCGGAGCGGATTTCAGGGACTGCCTCAGGAGCTCGGACGAGCTAGTCAGGACCATGTCCAACTTCTTACTCGGCGCGGGCAAATTGTTGAAGGAGTTGAAGAATCAGCGGGACGAGGGCGTTAGTGGGCACGCAAGGGGTTACAGCCTCGATTCGGGTGTTATCCCGCCCGCGCAGGACGCGCGAAGTTCGGGCGCGGGCTCGAGCCAGAAGTCCAACTCGAGGAACGGGAGTGGGTCTGGTGTGCTCGATGGACGGCGCAGTGCGGACTCGAGGAGAAGTTTGGACGCTGCGAGGGCGGAGAGGGAGCGGGATCGAGAGCAGCGCGCGAGTCTGGACGGGCTCAGATCGGCGTCGAGGACGGAGGTCAGGCGCTCGTTGCAGCTCCGCGAGAGTACGAGCACGAGCAGCAAGAGCCCCGAGCCGCTTCAGCCGCAGCGCCCTTCAACGCTTCAGCCTTCGTCGTCTATGCGCCGCATCATCACACCTCGGGAGACGGAGAACCGCACGCGCGCTGCGGTACTGGCTTCGCCCGAGTACGAGGACGTCGACCCATCGCCCACGCCTGCAGCGCGCATACAAAATCAGCCCCCGGAGCGCCTACGCGGGCTCGCGCCGCTCTCAATTCCCAAACCCCTCGAGCAGCTACCCTCTGAGATCGAGTCCGGCGCGCGCTCGGCGATCCGACGCGTTTCGTCTGCCATCGCTAGCACGAACAGGCGCAAGACCTCCACGACGTCCAACATGACCGTCCGTCCTCAACCCGCATTCGCGGTCCCACCCACACCAGGCGCAACCACCGCCCTTACACCCGCCACTGCCAATTCACGACACAACAGCGAGAAAATGACGTTCCCGTCTACTTCAGGCGGCGCGGGCGTGAGTCGTCATGCATCGGATAGCAACGCTAGGACGGGAACGTGGAGGAATGTCACGTTCAGTAGAGCGACGGCTGCGAGCGCTAATCGGGAACGCGAGAGGAAGAGGACGATCTCCGCGACGAGTGGCACATCTCCAGCTGAGGTTACTGATGCGCACGCGTATGCTGCCACACCCGTCTACACCGGCCGCGCCGCTGCTCTGAGGAACGGTGCTGCCTTGGACAGAGAGCGCGGGTCGGCTAGTGATAGCGAGCGTGTTAGGCCCGCTACGCTTAGCCGGCGCGCGACGGGCGTTGGGCTCGGTGGAGTAAGGGCGAGTTTGGACGAGGAGCGGGCGCCGAGTCGGACGCTTGGGAGGAGTGAGAGGAGGAGGACGTTGACGGAGGTGTTTGCGCCGCATTGAGCGGGCGACTGTGATTTGATGTTGTGATGTTGTTTTGCACATCCTCGGCTCTTGTCGTCAGGTGTGTTGCTGTTACTTGAGCGAGTGTGGGACAATATTGCTGATGCAGTGGTGGCAGATGTTCTCCTCGCAAATATTTATTCACGGACTTCCCGCCCGCGCTCTCCTCGTCTCTCCCGTCTCCATCTCTCCATTCTCGTCTCTCCGTCCCCGGTCCCGTCTAAACCTCTACTCGTCCTAACCGGCACGCCGTTCGTTGGCCATCCTTACAAAACACCCCCGCCTTCGCCCGCTGTTGCATTACTTGAAATCCCTCACCCTTTCTTCTTGATCGCCGAATTACTTACTTAGACCCTGAACCCGTTATTACCATGCATCTATGCCCTAAGCCCTCTCCCTCCCTCCCTCTTCTCTTCCCTCTCTTACTCCCTCAATCACGCCAATCCCCTTTCCCCTTCTACGACACGACCCGCCTAACGTCCCCACCCGCCCGCACAAACGCACAAACGCACAAACGATCACTCTGCCGCCTCAAGCCTGCGCGTAGGCGTATCGCTTCGCGGTATTCTCTTCCCTTCCTCCTCCCTCTCCATCCTTTCCTCTCTGTGAATATCTCCAGACTCGACTCGGTTTCGAATTTTCCCGTCTTACTCTCTTGCAGTCTTGCATTGTGCAGTTCCCCCGTGTGTTTTCATTTTGTTTGGGCTATGAAGATGATAATGCCAGATATATTGTATCATAACGGTCGATGCGGGATGTGCTACTGGGAACCGAGGTAACATGCATCGTGCTACGACGTCGGCGTAGACGTAAAACATGACATTTGGCTCGGACTGCGCTATGGGTCTAGAGACGCCCGTCAAGGAGGGAAGTGCGGGTGTTGCTTCAGACGTCGGCGAGCCTTGTGCGGCTTGCGGATATCATCAACCTGGTTGCCGCCTGGCGGGATCGAGATTCCGGACACTGTTGAGGTCGCTGTGGGGTCTGGGTGGGCCGGCGTTATGTTGTTGAAGATCATGTCCAGACTGTTTTGCCGTCTGGCCGTCCTTGTTCAACTTGAGCACCGTGTCGGCCTGACGGCGCGTTTATTGCACCGGGCGGAAGTTCAGCGCGCCCAGCCGTGTCCGATGGTGTGTATGTGGCCACCGCATGTATAGCGCATGCTCGAGCTTCGAGAGCACGTTCAAGCCTTGGTCGGTATGTCCCAATCTTAGCTCGAGAGTGATCGAGCTCCGGCTTCGCCGTCCCCATCGCGAGGACTGAGGAGGCTGCAGACGTTCAGCCGAAGAAGAGCATACATGCACATTCGGCCGGCACGCTGTGAGAGCGCCGACCAAGCCGAAGAAGAGTTTCGTGGACATATAGACTCGGACAAAGATGTTCTTCTGTGACTGTACTTCTTTGAACCGAGGTGGGTACGGGAATCGAAGTCGAAGCGCTGTCGACGGGCATGTTTAAGTCGCCGAATGAAGTGCGACCTGGCCGATCGAGAGCGATGAACGTTGATATGTCGAGAGCTTTAAGCCGTGTCGTGTCTGTGTATATGCGCCGGAAAACCTTGATAAGAGCTCGCTGGCTATGCAGCACGTCCGAAATGTGAGGAGGCGAGTACGATCGAGCAGCATACTCATCACACAAGTGAATTGGGAACGTCGCCGTCGGCGTGAAGTGCGTTCCGCGACGTGTCTCAACTCGCCGCCGAGCGTCATAGGTCACCGGATATCCCTGTTCTCGCATGACGACGCCTATTCATGCACATGCGGCTTCGGAAGGCGCGCTTCCCGAGGTATAGAAGAGTTTGCGGACACTTGGGGTGGGATACGGGGCGCATATATCCGGGCATTGTGGAAGAGCTTCGGTGTCGGCGAGCCATGGAAGCCAACTTCGTGAACTCGGCGTCCTGTGAGCGCGGATATTCTTAGATCAAAGAAATGCCAGATTTTAGTTGACAATCCTGATGCTCATTCGTCACAATGATCAAGTCGATGATGTGAGCTGAGATGGTAAGAACACGAGCACTGTAAGAGGGGAGAGTCGGTGCACACGAGCACCCCGCCCTCCGAGCCTGCGGCGGATGTCTCGAGATGCCGCACCGTCACCAGCCTCTCAGGAGAACGACTTCCGGACTCCGAAGATTAGGAGAGTCTGCGGGAGGTGCGTGAAGTGGAGAGCGTATCACGAGGATATGTGAGAGCACAACAGGCCATGCGAGCACATCGTGAAGCTCGAAGTCCTTCGAAGATACCCTCATCGCATGCTAAAATGCTGGGATGACCGTTGTTCTGAGTCGCAAGCCATTGTGCATATGGCGACAGGACCGGGGTATAGCCATGCGGCGACGTCGTTGGCGACTACAATGGACAACCTTCAAGCGACAAGCTCTAGATCTTGTCGCCTATCCAGTGACGGTATACGCATCAGCGGTCGGTACTGCCAGAGTGAAGACATCCGAGCCATTCAGTCAAATAATGGAAGATCTATCGGCCTGCGCGTACGTCTCAGAATGACGCTGTTTGAATAGGCAGCCTCTGCGAAGAGAGACAACCGCACATGGCAACTGCGGCTCCGGGTCTGCGCACTTCCGAAGATTAGGACAGTACACGGAGGTCGCACGACGTGAAATGTGCATTGTTCAACATGGCGGGGCGCCTTCGAAGCAGTCGAACGGATGAAATGGAAGTCGTAGCCAGGTCATGAGCTCGAAGCTCTCTCGATCCGCACCCTGCAGTTGCTCAAGTGTATGCCGAAGCCCACCTATATTTGAGTCAAGACCCACGCCGAGAGAGCGCGCAAGGCAGATACAACTGTCGTGTTGACGTGTGCGCATCGAAGTTGAAGCTGTTGGTGAGCGCGATCGAAGTCTCGGGTCGGCGTGTCGCAAACTGCCGCCATCAAACATACATAATATAGCGCGCATCATTGACTCAGCGCAGTCCGTCGTGTGGCCCGCCCTCGTGAGCAATGCGGGCGGGCGGAGCCAGAAACTCAAAAGATGTTTGCCCTGGCCGCGACCGCACGAGGGACAAAGAATTGAGAGAGCTTGCTCGACTGAGGACAACCGGGTCCATGCCTGGCGGTGCGAGGATCCATGCGAGCGCTTCTGGGCCTTCGCAAATTCTCTGACCCTCTGGACTTTCACAATCGAACGCCCGCAGCCTTCGTATGTCTGAATTTGAGCCATTGGAATTGGTGTTCCAAGCCTCGACGGAGATATGGCGATACAGGGTCTTCCCTACGCGGTTGCACATCGTTATCGTGGTAAAGGTGGCGACCGGCGTGCTCGGCATCTCGTCGGTAGATACCGTCCTTCCTAGAGCTTCAGACTCGACGCATCCAATGTGCATTCGTCGGGGCTGCGAACGTGAGTTTTAGGGCGCAAGGCCTGCAGAGGCTGGTGGAAACTGACGAGAAAGCGGTGGTATATCGCAGCGGAGGCTCGCCGGCGGGAAAGCGCGCGCAGGTCTCATCCGGTCCGAGAATGAGGAGAAGTCCAGACCGTGGCACAAGATGTCGTTGCCGCGGAAGCATAATAAAGAGATTGCGTAGCTCTCCAATTCGGCGGTCTAGATCTGGGACACCCCGCCGTACAAAACCGTACATTGTGAAATCCCGCCGCTGTACTACCCGTACCCGCTCTACTACCTCTCGCCGCACCTACGCGCTCTGCGTCTTCGGTTCTCGCCACCGACAAATAACAATCTCGAGGGTTTTGGACTCGCTCCCTTCACCCGACTCGCAGCAGCGCCTCAACCGAGACCATGCCCTCCCTACTACTCGAGCCCAAGAAGCCCGCACCCGCTCTCGTCAAGGCGGAGAAGAAGTCGACCTGGTGGGAAAAGGAGAGGACACCGCGTCTGGTAGAGACCGGCGCAGGTCACGGTAAGCTTGAGATCCGCGGTCGGTCCCTTGATAGCGTCCTGACGATCCTCCCGCAGCCGTCACTGTCAGCGTTAACCTTCTCACCGCGCCGAAGGACAAACACGGCAAGGGTGCCCTCGGCACACTCAAAGCCCTCGCAAAGGGTCGCCCGACACGCAGCGCTCCAGTGAGTATCCATCGCCGAGTCGTGAGTTGAAACCCCCAGCTGACCAAACTTCTCCTACAGCCGCCTAAGATCGAGACAAGGTTGGACTACGACTCCTCTGCGTCGTCATCGCCGCGCTCGTCGTCGTCATCTGCACCACCATCACCGCCACCATACGACGATGTCCCTGAGCCAGAACAGGAGCCGGTCTTCACACCTTTCCCGCGCCGCCCGCTCCCACCCAGAAGATCCGACGAGTGCGACCGCATTCGTGACGATACTCCTCTGCGACACGGTGTGCTCATGAGCGAGGGCCTGCGCGCTCAGAGCATGAAATCACGAAGCGCCGAGATGGCGATGGGCCCGGAGGAGCTCACCGCGTGGCTGGCGGGTATGCGCCGACAGATCCGGCGGGAACTCGCAGAAGAGAAAGAGGCGATCGAGCGCCTGAGGAAAAGACAGGAACTCTCGGAACGCGCAAGGAGAAGACACCAGCGCGAGATGGAGCGGCTGGACGAGGAGAAGACCGTCGCGCGGTTCACCTGTGTCGTCAAGGGCCTTGCAGCGCAAGCCCGCAGCACAGTGCGCCCCGGCGGCGAGAAATCGAAATGGCTCGTTGGCTACGCCTGAGCCCATCCACTCACTTACAACATTCGTATCGTTTAACACCATGGACCTGGATTGCCGCATCCCTAATCGCTGCCTGCCGCTCATTGGACCCCATCGTCGCATTGCTATCTGTATTTTATTGCATAAGTTATCCTCCTCAACTATATCCCATAGATGTCCTGCTTGTTGTATATCCCAAAGATAAATCTGGAAACCCCGAAGTCGGAAGATGAACGAGCTCGGTGATAGAGAAAGCGGCGCTATCTGCGTTTACCGTTTGGCGCTGGGAAGCGCAGAAAGCGTGGTGGCCAGGTGGCGCCAAAGTTGGCCACGCCCGTGAAGCGGCACAGACACTTCGCCTCAGCAATCATCCGATACAAGTTGCGAACTCAAAGAGGTAGTGCCCGCGACGCATAGTGAAAATGTAAAGGGTAATCAGTGCACACGGCTGCAGATGGAGATGATGGCAGAGGGCAAGTCTGGGGGAGGGTCGAGATCGGCTCGCGGATGTGCGTGCCGCGGCGGACGCTGTGGAGCGCCCGTCCTGCAAGCTCAGACTTTCGTCCCCTCCTTGCAACATGTCGAAATACTCTACGTCGGCTATCTTGTCTCTTCCCGTCATACCCTCCCCTGCGCATCATGCGCCCCGCCATTCTCTCGCTGCCTCTAGCCAGTCTATCTTATGCTCTCACAATCCAACCGCGCTCGGACGGTTTCGCTGACCCAGCATCCTGGCTTACCGTGAGAATTCCATATAATATGGCTTGTTTGAGCCTTTCTCTGAGCATTGGTCTTGTTCTCAGAACGTACCGGACACGAATGGCCTTCACGAACCCATAAACATCGTCATCTCCGCCGACTCCGACGACGATGTCCTGAACACGAATCTGACCACCGGAGGCTCCGGTACATACTTTCAGTGCGTAGCGTGGGCTTGCTGGTGCGTTATCCGGGACTGAGCCTCTTGCACAGGTCGTTCGGCTACTCCTATGAATGCCTGGGCCAACATGAGGGTAACCATCAGTCCGCCGATCTCGGAGACGGCCAGGGTGCAGGTGCGCGATACGCAAGGTTTGCTCGATCTAGAGTACTGATTTCCTCCTCCAGTAAACGAGACGGCTGTCATACGATGGGATTACGGTGACGTAACAGTGGGCACATGCAAGGAGACTGTCAACGGCGGTGCGCACTTCCGTTACTGGGTGCAGGATGGCTCTAAAGCGAAGACGTACGTTGGGTTATCTGAAATATCATCATTGCATGGCTCACTAAATGATTACTACAGTGGAGCGCTATTCATCGCGTCATCCTATGAGCAACCTGCATCAGGTACGCCTCTCGCTGCTAAGCGTAAATATGTACCAACCTCTTTGACAGAGGGACACGGCATCGTGGAGGACGGTTACAACCTTGGGCGAGACTGGTTGATAGGCAATGCAACTGCCCAGTCCTCCCTCATACCCACAGCCGAACTAACAAACGGCGCGTCCTACTCGGGTCAGACGACGGCGAGTAACTACACCTACAGCACCACTGTGCAGTACATCTCAGGGCTGGCCTCGAACACTTCCGACGGCATCAATCACGCTGACACTGTGTCTGTGAATGGTGCTCCCGCGAACGACGGACTTGTCGCCGTCATGACCGTCAAGATCCTCAGTAAACCCAACGTGGATGCAAGGTATGCTGCCCGTCCCCTAGGCACCCTCCTTGAACGGTTGCTTACGGCCCCATGACAGCTCTGCTGGTTCGAGACATCTCCGTTCTGGCTCAGAACTACTACTGTACACCACATTCTACACCTTACTGGCGACCGCCGCCGTGGCCCTCATGATCTAGACGTCGACATGAACCAGAACGTGTTCGAACAATCCCGAACTTTACATTGCTTTGTAGAATAACGACGGACGCTCAGGTACGCGACCTTACGGACTAGATGTACCTACGAAACCACTATTGCATACTTTACGCCCTACCCGAAGCGAATATACCTCTTGCCCGCGTACGAACACCCCGCGAAGTCGCTGTAGGGGAGCGCGCTACCTCCGTCTTCTACAGTCACTCGCTCATCTTCGAATCGCGGCGTTCTGACCACCAGCCTCACAGTTGGCGAATCGCAAAGGCGAAGTATACCTGTAGCAAAAATATAGATACAAATGTAGGGAGAGGACAGCTACAGAGCGGTGATAACGGTGATACAAAGCAGGGCGGATGGGACGGCTGGCGTCTGTCTAGCAGAGAAAGAGAAGAAGGAGCATGAGTAGCGCGCGGCGCCCGCTCACTCGTACACCTTGGCCCACATGATCTGGAACATGGCATCGCTGAACGCCTCCGGGTTGTTCTTCACGAAGTCTGGTATGATTCATTAGAAATGTGTGGGACGGGGAGAGCAAGCGGAGGCTCACCATTGCAAGTAGAGGGGCAACCAGATTGTCCATACTGCGAGCCTGCGAGGTCACCGCAGAACGTCAGGTTGATCACGATGTTGTGTGCGCCGAAAGACTCTTCGATGTTGCACTGGTTGTTCGGGAAGAGTGCAGCGGGCGTGCCCTAGAAGATGATACGGTGAGTGACGTGGTACATCAAGTCACGAATAGTTAGTGCGTACCCAGGTGGTAGGGTCAACCGTGTCGAGACCGTTGAAAACATCGTTCGGGATCTCGTCGGAGTCTCGCGACCAGAACCAAACGGAGATCATCGTGTCAGTGCGCTCCATTGCGTAGAAGCCACCGCCGTTGGAATTGAAGGTCGGGCCATCTAATGACACGTAAGAACTTGGGAAGAATAATGAGGGGAAGAATACGCACAGTTGTCCGCAGGGGTTAACTCGACGTTGCAGCCCGCGTTGGAGGTTCCGGACGAGTTGCAGTCGTTGTTCAGCGGGTTGCCAGTCATCGCGGTGCGAACGGACGGGACAGAGCAATTGGGGCCAGTGTGCAAAGAGACGGTGTTCTGCGTCGCGAGGTTGACACCCTCGACGATGTCGACCTCACCGCCGAGAGGCCAGTTTTGACCCTCAACTTCCCAGATCGCGGGCCATGTTCCGCAGCCGGTCGGCATGTGCGCCACGTTGAAGCTATCGATCGCGTGTTAGAGCCGGGTGCAAGGCATCAAGACGAAAGAGGACTTACACCGCAACGTGGGTGTTGTACGCCTTCTGCGATGAGATGCGCACAGAGTCGCGGCCGCGAGCGCCCTCCGGAACAACGGCTTGATCGTCCGCGCGCATAGTGAAATTTGTCCCAGAGACCTGTACGAGGTCGGTTTGCTTCGCGACGGTTTGGTTGACGTAGTTGACGAAGCCGTGCGTAGGATCTTCGCCCGAGAAGAAGTCGAACTGGGTGATGAAGTCGTTGCCCTGGTAGTTGTCGGACAGGGTGTAGTTGCCAGCCAGGGCAAGAAGGGGGAAAGAGAGCGTGAAATAGAGGAGGCTGCGGATCGACGGCATGTTGCGAGAGTTGGAAGCGTTGAAAGAGAGAAAGACGAGATGAGAGAAAGAACGGTGGTGAAGGGAGGTGCTGGCTTCTCGTTCTGGAGCTGAGCCAGGCTATATACCTGCTGGGAAGGCCACAGTCCAAACCACGCCGCGCGGAAATAGCATGGACCTGTCGATGCTGAGCACAAAGACGGTTCGTTGTGGAGACGGACATTGAAGCGCTCAGGGTCAATGGGCAGATGTTTGCCCATTGTCCTCTACAAAAGAGGACCACAGCAGAGTTGCGCCCGACCGTGGTTAAGAATGCTGTCCCGCAGTACCCAGCGCAACTGCCAGATCGGTGGTTAGTGAGAAGACATTGACCTCATAGGTTCCGCACGCTGAGGTACCGCCGCCCGCTCACAAACCACACCATGCGTCAACGAGTGACCTACCAGCGTCCTTAGAGTTGTCCTCTGCCGATCCACCCCGTGGCAAGCGACGTATTATGCCGCCGCCATGTGAGCTTTGGCTCTAATTCGTGCCGAAGCGTCGGCATAGCAAGATCTTATACCAAATCTAGATCTGAGCGAAACAGGTGGCACGCAATCGGGGAGAGGCAGTGCATTATGGGCCTATGACCGCTGTTGCGAGGACTAACAAGCCGAGGTGGGGGAGCAAGACGAAGTGCGATGCACGGTCATAGTCGTATATACGATGTCGCATTCTCAATGGTCCGCGCTACAACGCCAGTGCCCAAGCGGTTTGCACAGCAGTAGAGATAAAGCCGCCATTATTGCTGTATGATCGTAGTTCGAAGTGAAGTGCACGAAGCGCTTCAGTTACCGGTTGAGAAACCAAGCGCGCCATCACGGCACGGCATTTCGGCGGTCGTCGGCCGATTGGCTACTGCGTCGCACAGGACCACAGGTCATAGTGTAGGCCGCAGTACTCTCGACGTTCTTTTCATGAATCTTCGGTCAAGTGTTTTCAACCAATAGTAAATCACTCAGATGAAGCAGCGTATACAAGAGATGATCGCAATGATATACAATGATGCTCGTCCCGCCGGAGATACACTCTTCTACCAACCCCATCCGAAATCGCAATCTAGGTGCTCAACGTATCGGTTCATGCGACTCACCCATTCTCGGCGCAGATCTTGGAGCTTTGCATTCGATGGGTCATCGATCGTGACAAGCGATAATTGGGCACCTGCAGCTTTGCGCCGCCTGAGCCATCGTACGAGGGCTTCGTCCGCTCCACTACGCAGCATATAGCCTTGCAGGCGAAGAATCTGTAGCTCGCAATGTATTCCATTGCGTACGTCCGACTCCGCAAGCAGGTCGCGGAGCGCCTCTCCGGTGATAGCGGATGTCTTGGTCTTGACGTCCACGCTCAGCTCCCGCAAGGACGAGCATTGAGCCACCCAGGCCCAGTCTGATATCGCCGCGTTTTTGTCACCGGATAGCTTTAATCGGAGGGTTGAGATGCTCTGCAGTGCCATGCTCCGCAGAGTCTCGCCAAACCAATCCGACCTTTTCTGCACGTAGGGGCGTCTATTGTCGAAATGGTTCCATCCCGAGTTGACAGTGATGGATAGCTGTGCGCCGCGCTCTCCTTGTTTATACGAATGCTCTCCCAACCAGCCGTTGATACGAAGTACCTTGCAGTCGAAGAAGATATCCAGTATCTGTACATCGATGCATGGGATGGCCAGGCGACCAGAGTAAACCGCGTGAAGGAAGGAGGTCGCTTCGTCTGTCATGAATAGACGGACGCGTGTAGAAGAAGGAAGCACCAGATGCGATAGCAGTACAAAGGACATCTGTTGGCCTAAATCGCGATCTTCTATCGTCAACTCCTCCAGAGCGGGTAGCTGCACTCGATGTAGGGTGCTGGGCTGACTGTCTGGGGGTGAGACGCTAACCGAGAGGCGAGAGTGGAACGCGCGAAGCTCCAACACGATGAGTGAAGGGAGATTCTGCAATGCAGCTATGCAATCAAGGCCAGGGAACCCGGCGTGGAAGGCCATTTGTAGGTGCGTGAGGCCGGAAAGACGCATCCACATGTCAGGCGGGGTCGATGTGAATTTGATGTCGGAGAAGGGCTCAGCGTATGTGATGCTTAAGCTCCGCAGAGAGGAAGCTAGTAGGTCGGCATTGGCGCTGGCCGGTTTCGTCAAATCGCGAAGGTCCTGTGCGGACTTCACTGCGGTAATATCGACGGTCGCTGATGAAGCCCGAAGGGTCTCGAGAGCCTCTGGCTCTTGAAGCAACATCAAGAGAAACCTTGCGGAGCAAGAGATGCCGGCCAGTAATAAACGGCCGGCATGATCCAGGATGAGCTCGTCCGAAGTCTTGCCCCGTTTTTTCTTGGAAGCCGCGGAGCCAAGGCCCGCCAGTTCGGGTACAGCAAGTGGTGCTGCAGGGAGAGGGCCCTGGGGCTCCTGTGCAGCATTTATCGCTTGAAGAGCCTGGGCGATGAAACCCCACGCTGGGAGACCCGCTGGCGGTTGGACACCTGGACCCATTGGGATGGCGTTGCCGTCATCGTCATCACTGCTCTCGGTCTCGTCGTCGGTCTCGTCTTCATCATCGTTCGCGAAAAAGGCAGGGTCAACGAGAGGCGGCAATGGCTCCATCTCCAGCTGTTGCATGAAGCCTTCGGCGTTGGGGACAGCACCGGGTACCTCAATAGGCTCTTGTTCATTCCCAGCCTGCCACCACAGACCCAAATCGAATAGATCATCGATGGCTGACAGACGAGCCGAGAGCGGAGGATGTACATGGGCTGGGACTGTCCAATAAATCGGAGCCTCGCGCGCTCGCGCTACCATCTCCATTTGTAGGGCGAGAGGTAGGTCGTAGTGAATGTGCGCCCATAAAACCGGTGTAGATATGGTAATGTTTCTCCATCGTGATGCCACGTGGGAGGCAGCCATCCAGCCGAGAGAGCGATTTGACGAAGGCGGCCACATGCGAGAAAGCCATAGAAATATATACCCCATTATCTCCGGAGGTAAAGCATCCGCGGGATCTCGGAGAGCTTCTTCCGATGCTTCATGCATCTTGGAGGAGTGAAGAACGAGAGGGTAGCCGTATGCCGTTGAAAGGTCGACGGTACCACCGAGAACATTGGATTGAACAACAACCATGATCACGCGAAAGGAATCGAACGCGCGGAGGTCTACACAACGGACATGAGTTTGTAGCTCCCCAGGTTCTGACAGCCACATACAATAGCGCAAGCCGCACACTATGGGTACGGGCAGAGGACCCCTTCCTTGCACGGTGGTGGTGGCAGGACAGGAAACGATCCTAGGACACGAGGCGCAGCGTGGCACCCGCCCGAACAGCACTCGGTGCTCGCCGGTCCGTATGTTTTATCAACGGAACACTTAATCATTGAGTCACACGCAGACGCTCAGAAGCGACTCGAAGCCAATGTTATGTCATAGTGGAGAGATGATACAAGTGGCGGAAGCGGGTATACTGGGTGACATATATAAGGCTACACGGGTGTCATTACTCGTACGGGCTTGAAACAGGCCTTGGTCATGAAAGTCGTAAGTCTCGGTGATTCAAGCAACAAATGTAATCTTGCTCTGCTTGTACTTCGCCCGTGGGGTATACTTAAGGGCGCTATCGTCCATGCGGTACTTGACACTCTCGTGGAACTGCACGTCCGGTGGAACGAAACGCCCGCGACCGAGGTGTATGCTCCATTTGCTGACCCATTGATTGGTCACGACGGACTGATAGGTGAAGTTGGTGGGCACGATCTCGAGGAGCCACCAAACCGGGTTCGCCTTGAGTTGGTCGTGCATAGGTTGCACAGCGTCCAGTTTATCGCGCGTCTCGTCCGGAGTCTTCTCATCGAAGATGTTTAGCAGCTGGCGCGGGAACCCCATTCGCACAAACGCGGTATCGTCAAAGACTACACCGCACTGCGACTTGATCACCTCACGAACCATCCAGCGTAATGGAATATCAGCAAGTGAGCACTCAGCACTATTGGGCGTAGAGCTTCCACCGACATCTATAGCAGTGGTTAGTGCGTTATAGACCCCAGCTAGCCGATACAGCACAAACCAGTGTGGCAACCAGCAAACCATACTTCCTTCGCATCCGTTATGATATCAAAGCGCTCGGATCCCGCAGTCTTGTAAGAGGCCGGCGGTGTCTGCAACGGGTCCTTGGACGCAAGGGAAGCATGCCCAGTGGTGGACGTTGATTGATGGAAGAGCCTGTCTTTCAGCTTATCCAGCCAGCTCGGAGCTTTCCTAGCGACGCCTGGTCGGTTGTAGTGGCTTGGTCTAAACTTGGCGCGATGCTACACGGTCGTGTCAGTTACAAAACGGACTGCGGAGAGAAGATGGCACACCTCGTCGAGTGACAAGGCCTGCCTGAACGTGCGTATCGTAGTATTGGTCTGAACGAATGGCAAGCTGCGCATGCTGATGATGCCCACACTTGCCACCGTATCCCAGACCCCCACGAACTCTATAGGCACTTCACGGCAGAATGCCTCTTTGAAACCCGCAGCGAGTTCTGCATCCTTAGTCCGATCTGACTTGTAGACGTCGTATGCGAATGGTATCTGTTCGTCGTTGTCGCGGGAAAGTAGGCCAACTTTGTGCAGCATACCTGCTAGCGCTCTAGCTGTATATGCACCACGAGAGAAGCCTACGGCGCTAGTGTCAGCGAAAGTTATGGAGGATCATAATGACGAAAGCGTACCGAATAGGCAGACACGGTCGCCGACGAGGTAGTTCTGCATAAGGAACTTGTATCCTTGCATGACGTGCTCGGGAAGGTAGAATGCCACGGCTTCGTCAAGCATCTTGGCGCCCCAAGAGAAGAGTGGCGAGACGAAACCCGGCTGGAAATATGTCCCGACGCCGGCCTGCACATGCATGAGGAGTGTTGATGGGAATATCGCGATGATGTTCTCACCTGATAGTAAACAAGCTGCTTGTCCTCGTCCTTCGACAGCAACGACACGAACTTGACCACGTTCGTATTCTGCGCGGGTTATGAGTATTCCGGTAAACGTGTTTGAGGAGTGAGAAAGAAGATCTCACGGCCGTGCTGTACTCGTTTGAAGTCCCTGCCGGCCATCGTAAGCTTCAAGCTCTAGCAGGCGTGAAAGCACCGCCTACCATCGAAACAAAGTACAAGCGTCCGAGGCGAGCGAGAGGGCATGGTCGCAGGCGGGGCTCCAGCAGAGGCGCCCGAGGAAGAGGGATCCATGATAGCTTTATGGATGTCCAGCGGGCGTCAGGGAGCAAGAACAGCCACGCGCCACGAACAGCGCAGGTCGAGGATTGAATGGCTTCCGCGCTCTTCTGTCACAATACGGTGGCGCCGGTCTCGCCGAACGATGAAGGCGAAGGCGAGGGCGATGGAGGTCAGAGCGAAGGACGACTTCGATGAGACAAGCCATCTTCTAATCACACGCAGCTTTCTCGCTGGGCGTGTGCTAGCAAATAGAACGAATAGGCCAAGTCCTAGTGATGGACAAGATGGACAACGTGCGCTGCCAGACATGGTAGACTGAGGAAGAGAGCGCCTTGCCGTTTTGGGCGAGCTTCTCGGGTTCGCTATAACCGCGAACCCGTGACCTCCATTACCGTGTGGCACATTCCCGCCGCGCTCTTCCTCCGCGGTCACTCGCCGCTGCGGTATCGATGGAGTTGCTCGACTTGGCTTGTCGGGCTGCTCGAATGGAACACTTGACGTCTTGTTCGGAGCGGCCTCGCTGGCATGGTGTCGCCGCAGAGAGTGCCCAGATAAAATGTGCGAAAGTAGTTGTAGACCACTATGACGCGATTTCCAAATGCTTGAATCAGTATAGCACATCGGCACTGTATCACCGTGACTCTGCTGGCTCTGAGGTGACTCACTCGTATGTCCATTCATGGTCCTAGAAGATGGCGTACCGTCATAGTGTACAGGTTTGAACGGGATGGTCGATTATCTGATCATCATCAACATATACCAAGGAGGCTATGTAGGGCCAAAAAACAAGCGGTCAATAAGGTGCAATGCGGCGAGCTGTTTATGAAGTTGCGCTTCTATGACTATGTGGGTAATGGGTACGAATGCGTGTCTCGAGCATCGTGAACAGTTCACTGGCTTGCATTGCCGTCGGAAGACCCCAAAGCATCCTGCGTCCATCTTTCGGAGAGGTTACATTCGGTCATTCTCACTACGCGCAGCTTGCAGGGCAGATAGATTCTGACGAACTCGAGTCAGCAAGGGATACCCGCTTGACCGAAAAGGAGCTGTCGCTCACAGAACGCATTATTGCCCTGATCTTATCTGACAGAGTCGCCCCTACATCTCTTTGCCGGCCCAACACGCACGCTCAATCTCGGTGTAAGCGCCGAGCTCTGCCTTGCCGCTTGAACGCGTACGCCGTATGGACTGTGGTGGACGTAAGGCGATTCACCATGCACGTCGTAAATCCGTCTAGAGTCGTTCGAGGTGTGTCGACCTTCGCAGTATTTCAGACAGTATAAGACAAGGCGACGAAGACGACGTACTTCAACACCAGCTCGCTCATTTCCGCCTACCAAGCACCAAAGAACCAGCTCGAACAATGTACGGCACCACTCCGATCACTGTCGGCGTCTTCCTCGTCGGCGACGGCGTTCAGATGGCCGACGTCGTCCCCGTTGATATCCTCGGCATGCTCAGCACTGAGTACATGTCCGTTCTGCCTCCCTCGGCGGACCCACTCAAGGCGCTCGCGACGCCCATGACCTTCGTGTACATCACAGAAAGCGGTGACGGTCCCTTCACGCTTACGGGCGGCGCCCATGTTGCGATCCAGGTTTGGCGGCGCCTATCTTCTGATCTGCTCAGGACTGATAGCCGTCTGTATAGGCCTCCGTGTCGAGCGCACCAAAGCTCGATATTCTCGTCGTTCCTGGTCCGCCGCCAAGCTATCAGGCGACCGAGGCAGTCAAAGCCTTCATCAAGGCGACCCACGCTTCGGGCACGCACGTCCTTTCAATCTGCACCGGCATCGTGCCCGTCGCCGCCTCAGGCATCTTGGACGGAAAGATCGCCACGGCTCCGCTTGGCATTATCCCCATCGTGCGTCAGTTCTTCCCCGCCGTTAAGTGGGAGGACACCCGCCGCTGGGAGAAGGCGGTCGGCGAGAACGGCGCGGGTGAGGTGTGGACTAGCGGTGGGGTGCTGAATGGGGTCGATCTCGTCGTGGCATTCTTGAGGGAGAAGTTTGTGAAGCCGGCTGCTGAGGCTATGATCATGCTCGCGGGCGTCAGCGAGCGGCCTCGGGAGTATAGCGAGATTGAGAAAGGAATGGGTGGCATGTCGCTTGCCTAGACACTTAAGGCGGACTGTGGGTTGATTCGTTGTGCCTGAAGTGTATCTGCTCAGATGATAGTCAGCAAAATGTCAACGCTCAACTGACAGTTCCGAATGCAATATTGTCCTACCAGGATCGCGCATGCTATCAGCCAAGAAAGCACGGGTTGTGTGCACGAAGATCAAATACTCAGCAGTGTGTGTTCTACTATACATTAAATTCTTTATATGAGGTCTTCAACAAGCGCAACCAGGCGGATGGATGTCCCCATGAGGACGGGAAGAACAGGCGTGCGCAGGTATAAGCGCCGAGAATGCCGGCGCGTAAATAGAGACAATGTATCCACATCAGTCCAAAGTCCACGATGTACGAGCGCTTGCTCAGAATGTGCTTGCCCACGCCTCGACATCGAAGTTCGTGGCGCGTGCGTTCTTGATCCACTCGGATTCCTAGGTCGCGTGAGCACACTCTCGACCGTATGAGGCTGAAAAGTGGACGTACCAGCAGTTCCTTCGGCGTCTTGCGTTGATCAGGATCTTTGCTCAAACACCCGTCGATGAAGTCGTGTGCCATTTTCGGGAAGCGATCTTCCGGTGTCAGCCGCGGCGCCGGCTCGTTGACGATATGTTGCAGCAACTCGAGGATGCTCATCGTCATTCCGCCGCCCTGCAAGCTGACACCCTTGCTCTTCCTCCTGTTCTTCTTCTTCTTGGCCTCTTTCTCCGCCTCCTTTGCTGGGTCCTTCTTGCGCTGGCCAGGGAATGGGTGTGATGGTGACAGTGTACCTTCAAAGTCGGATAGGTCGCTGTCATCGGAAGCGGATTCGGCGAAGGGGAAACGGCCTAAGGCCAATTCGATCAAGGAGATGCCCAAAGACCAGACATCCGATTTGACGGTGTATTGTGCACCCTGTATACGTTCAGGCTACACAGTTTGCGTGAGCATCAATGACTTGTATTGAGGCTCGTGTGAACGCACGCTCATGTATGTTGATGTACCAACGAAGGTATCGGCGATAGAGTTGATGAGTTCCCCAGAGACGCCGAAATCGCAGATCTTGATCTGGCCCTTGGAATTGCAAAGGATGTTTGAGGGTTTGATGTCTGTTGCGCCCGGTCAGGTTATGCGCAGTGACATGCGACAAAGAAGCCACGAACCGCGATGGATGATGCGGTGCACATCGTATAGGTACGTCAACCCTTCGAGCACAGCGAGAGCGACGAGCGCAACGACGTCAATGTCGATGGCGCCTATTTTCTTGTAGATGCCGTCGAGCGAGCCCTTGTCCATGAACTCTATACACATGCAGATGTTGGGGTCGGACAAGTAGGCGCCATAGAAGGATATGATGTAGTCTGAATGACAGTCGTGCATGATCTGCAGCTCGCGTAAGATTTGCTTGCGCACGGAAGGCTTGGCGTCTATAAGAACAATCTGGTAACGACGTCAAAACGATAACCGACGTGGCCGAGTACGTAGCGTAGAGACGAGGACATACCTTCTTTGCCATGATGGTGTGCGTGGGGACGTGCTCGACCTTCTTGACGCTGCCTCCGTTGCCCTGGCCGAGTTCGTGCAGGTCCTTGAGATCCTCGTCGCGAAGGTCGTATTTCGTTGTCGCGTTCATGTCCAGGTTGGCAAGGGTACTGCTCAGTGTCGCGTGGTAGTTCTGCCTCCCGCTAGCGCTGGCCGCGGCGGCTGATGGCAGGGCAGAGCGCGCAAAGCTGGCGCCTTCTTCTCCCGACGGCGTCTCCACCGCCTTGGGCGTCTTGAGCTGCATCGGTGGCGGGCGCTTCTTCTTGCCCCCAGGCTTGCTGGGCGGCGCTCCCAACGCGGGCCCGCCTAACGGTGCCGGCGCAGCACGTGTCGGAATGAGCTCAGGCTCGGGATTTGGCGGAGGCGCGGGCGTGGCGACATCGAGTGCGAGCGCCTTGAAGTTTCGCTTGGTCCGGAGCCGCGACGGGGTCGAGGCGGGCGTACTCATCGTCGCGCGACAACTACCAACAAGCTGTACTTACTACATCTCAGATCAAATATCCCGCATAGCCTTCAGCACAACATCACACACCGTATAGAGGAATATAAACAGAAACGGTCGTCGATCGGTAAAGCAACGCGTCGTCGCGGTCCAGGTTGAGATTCACTTGCAGTCACTGCCTTGTCTCCGGCAAAATCCGCGTCGTGCTTCGACTGGGGACAGCCTCGACTGTCGCTTGCTCCTGACGCTCACGAGCGTACATCACTCCGTGAATACACCACCTGCTATCAAATCGAAGCTGATACTTTTTGAAACAACCGCTTCTTCAGCTCCGCAATAGCTCTCGATGCTCCTGCTTTGAATAGGAGCAATGCCCGAACCTCCGCCCGCGCTTCGGCGAAGTTCATCATGAGCGCGGATCCGCCCTATCCCTTGTCATTGTTCAAACTGTTTCTCCCCTGCGTTGGGGCCAGAGTCATGAAGGTATGATACGACCCCGACGCTTTGTTATATTTTCTCTACATGCTATCATCTATGGCTCTTCAATGTTATCCGAAGTGGACTGGTCGAGTTCCCTCTTCGGTCTAACGATACGCGACCAGGCCCTCTGCTATAAGACTTGCGTGGCAGAGCCTTCCGCCGTTCATTCATTCCTATAGCCATGCCTGCCACTGCGCCTGTCAATCAGGCCCAAGGGTGGATGACCCCTCCGATGAAGAAAGCGCTTCTCCTCGCCGCCCTTGCCGGCGCGTGTTCATCAATGTTCGTGACGCGCTGCTCTGCTCTACCGTGATGTCCGGGATTGATTGAACTCTAGGCTCATCAGTGCGGACGCGGTGGTCTTACCCTGTCGAGGCCAGGACTGTGGACCATCCTCTTCGACCATATTCTCCCGCCAAAACGTGCAGCATGTCTTGACGACGGGTGTCACTACTGGCACGCACAATCGGCTTGAGATCAACGACTTCATCCGCAACAACCGACAATGGTCTCTGTTCGTCCAGGCTTTGGGTTAGTACACCAGTACATGCCTTTTGATCCAAGCTCAGCTCCTTTCAGCTTCGTTGCAGGAGGATGACCAGAGTAGTCCCACGTCCTACTACCAGATAGCCGGGCTGTACGGTCAACCCTTCATACGTTACGACGGCTCCGGTAACCCTCGTCCTCCGCCCAATACCTGGCCTGGTTATAGTATCCATCACTCCGTGCTATACCCCACTTGGAATCGACTTCATGTCGCGCTCTTCGAGCAGGCTATCCAAGAGAGAGCTGTCGTGATTGCGGGAAACTATACCGACCCTGCGTTTCAAACCGCAGCGCAGGAGCTCCGCCTGCCATTCTGGGACTGGGCGAACAACTCTTCCCCTCCGGGCCAGGTCGTCTCTGACGCACAGGTCAACTTTGTCTCGGCAAATGGCTCGGTGCAGACGGTGTGTACCCACGTCCCCGAAGGAGTAAAGAGCTGTTTGCTAATGCTGGGAACACAGATGACAAACCCTCTACTCGCGTATCGTTTCCATCAAGTTGATGCAGAGTTTGAAAGTCCATTCAATACGGACCCGACTACCCTTCGTCATCCGACTGGATTTGGCACTGGGGCAAGATCTGATGTTGCAGCGCTCCAAGGGTGAGTGCTTGACCTGCGTCTGTAACTGCTCTCAGTATTCACTGTCTTGTTTGTCCAGGCAGCTGGCGTCTTCGCAAGACGACATCATGGCCAAGACCTACAACATGCTCGCTCGCGTTAAGACATGGTCCGCGTTCAGTAACAGCGCTTCGGGAGACGATAATAGCACGAGTAACTCTCTCGAGGCGCTCAGCGATCTCGTGCAGTTGGATGTCGGCGGACGCGCGGGGCATATGAGCGATCCTACGGTGGCCGCTTTCGACCCCATATTCTGGTTACACCACGCGAATATTGACAGGCTGGTCTCGCTTTGGGAAGCTCTGAACCCTGACATCTGGGTCTCGCAGGGTCAGTCTGGTGTTGGCTCCTGGACGCTGCCGCAGAATGTATCAGTCGACGCAAGCTCTGGTATATTCACATCGCCGTACATTCCAACGCGTATACTGACTGCAGTGCCTAGACTTGACGCCATTCAGAAACTCAGACGCCACCTTCTGGGATTCATCCCGGATCATGACCACGGAACAGGTACGTCGTGCCATATAACTTACTCTTACCAGAATGGACCGAGCTGAATTGGTACCAGATTGGGTACAGCTACCCCGACTTCAATGGTATCGACATGTCAGATCCTGGCACTGTGCGTCTGTCCATCGCACTACAGATCGCCGAACTCTACGGACCCGCCCGCGGATCTATCGCCAATTCAACCGTGTCCTCCGAGTCAACCAGCACGAACTCTTCGGAAGCCGCACCTAGCAATCAGTCAAGCTTTGACTGGACAGTCCGTGTGCAATCGGCTGCGGGAGCGCTGGACGGCTCGTATGCGGTGCTACTGTTCGTTGGTCCCATACCCGAAGATGTCGCCGACTACCGCGACTCGCCTGCCTTTGTCGGCTCGCACAGCGTCTGGACATCTCGTGTCATGCCCGGAGATGATGTCGTCGAGAGCTTCATTCATCTGAACAGCGCGCTCTCGAATCGGTCCGGCCTGAACTCGACCGATCCAGAGGTGGTCGAGCCGTTCCTCATGCAGAACATCGGCTGGCGCGTCGTCAAGGTATGGTCATCCCCATTCAACAGTCTGACCCGAATATTGATCTGACACGTGTTGCTTGCAGGACGACGAAGTGCTCTCTGTCGAGCAGGTCCCGTCCCTCGACGTCCTGGCATCCGCAACGCCCATGATGCTTGAAGCCAACGCTGCTCTGCCCGACTATGGAGAGCCCCAACCTTATCCGGCTATCACAGCTGGTCAACTCGGTGGCCACGCAACTTCTTCGTAAATATACTTGTCTCATACATCTTCTTGCCCGAGTCAAGTATTGAAGACTGCGACGGTGAAGCGATCGAAAGCAATTATCATTCCACATGTAGTGTACATCTATTAGTTCTACTGTACCTACACGAAAGCTCGGGTCCCAGAAGTCCAGTACTACTCAAAACCCAGCAAAGCCGCCATGGCGAACATAAATAATGTCTAAAAGCCCAAAGCATCTAAATGTCTAGCGCGATGTCTGTCATTGCTTGAGCTCGTTGTAAGCCTGCACGACGGCCGAGAGTTCGTGGCTGCCCTTCTCCAGCCCAGTGACCGCCACAACGGCGTCCTCAATACCCAGCTCCTGCACCTTCTTCTGCAACTCTACGCTCTCCGGATCATCCGGGATGTTGAACAGGAAGGCAGCGGCAACGGCATGGGCCAGATGCTTGGTCGGTAGAGCGTATGAGCGCGCCATGTACATCGGCCCAAGTAATCGGTCGTGGCGGCCCAGCTTGCGCAGGGGCTGCCTGCCGACCCTGGTCACAGTGTCGCCCAACTTGGGGTTCGCAAAGCGAGTCATGACCTTGTCGATGTACTGGGTGTGCTCGTTCTCCGGGAAGCCATGCTTGCGAACCAGCGCAGCGCCACCTTCGACTAGTGCACGGTGTGTGTGGTGACGGATGACGGGATGGGCAACGGCCTCATGAAGCTGGTAGATGCCGAGAACAAAGCCAAGGTACGCCACGGTGGCATGCCCGCAATTTAGTGTGAAGAGCTTGCGCTCGCTGTCACGAAGTCAGTATATTGGCAGGCGCTTGTAAAGCTAAACTTAGAAACTCACATGTAGGCGTCAAGCTTGTCCGTGAGCGTCATGCGGTGGATCGGTGGGTCAATGGGAGCCACCAGGCCCTTCTGGTCCACCGCCCACTCTGAGAACTCCTCCACGGTAACATCGAGCGGGTGGGATGGGTCGTGCCCTCCGGGGACGATACGGTCAATAGCGCAGTTCGCAAAGCCAACGTGTTGATCGCAATATGCCCGCATCTCCTCGTCCAGGTGGGCGTAGACATGTCTCTTGAGCTCATCGGTCTGATGAACCATGTTCTCGCATCCGATGATGTTAATGGGTGGCACCCCGGCGTCGCGCCGGGCACGCAGACCGCGCGCAATCGTCGGTGCAATCTTGGGAAGAACGGGCGGGCCGACAGCCGTGGTAACGATGCGGGTTTCGTGTCTGTTGATGAACGTTAGTGGCCGAATATGGGAACTGATGCATGTACGCACAGGGCAAGATGGGTGATAACCTCCTCGTCGTTCGACATGACGCCCTCAAAGTCAGAGATGATCTCGACCTCATCGCATCCACCCGCATGAATGACATCCACAGCATAGTGATCTTGCGAGTTCAGCTCTTTGATCATATTGGCGTCAACATCCGCGAAGACTACATGGTATCCAGACTATGAAATGATTCAGAACCCTCGTATGTGTATGAGAGCGGGAGTACGCACCTCGGCAAGCAAGGCGCCGATGAAGCCACGACCAATGTTTCCGGCACCAAAGTGCACGGCGACGGGTCGTTCATGGTGAGTAGAAATAGCAACCATGGTGGTGGTGAAAGGGAAGCTTAAGCTGGGGCTCGTACGGCTGCCGCGGGACCATATATATAGTGTGTGGTTATTAGCGTTTCAGTCCTCGAGCGGCGCGGCTGCGTCGCTATGCACGGTCATCTCAACCGGACCACTGTCATAGGCGGGCATAGCCGCTGTGGTAGCCTCTACTAGGCCGGTCTGGGGCACGTCTCTAACCAAAAACGCGCGGACCCATATGCTGCTTTGCATGACGCCGCGCGGACCGTCAGCATTGCCTTTCCGCCAGTTCTAGGCGGCCCGTGGGAATTGAGCTGTGTCTATACAGGTTTTGCAATATCCCCGTCTGTGGTCGGGCTGTACAATGGGCAGGGCTCGAGGATGTTGCATTAGGACGGAGGGCAATGCTGGACGTCGAGAGAGAGAACGTGCCGTGCCGTCACAGCCAGTTCGAGGTGCGGATCCTGCTCAACGCGAGCTTGCGGCGATCGCATCTCTCGCTTCCGCCGCCGTCGGCCTGCGTACAGATTCATCTGAGCCTCACAGATCCCGCCATAGGCAGTCCTGATATAGGAAACCCGACAACATCGAGCTCCGGCCTGCGTGTCCGGAGTCCGGAACATCATCACCGCTCTCTGCAACGTCTTCGATCGTTCGCCACTCGTCGAGAAAGTGATGGCTCGGACATCACCAGGCCTGCCTGTGAACTATCGAGACCAAGGCCTCACTCGTCCGACACTGCAACGCCGTGAGCACAATGACAGTCAGCCCGTCTTCGCTCTATTGCCCACAGAGGTCATCCTGGACATCCTCCTGGCCCTGGTCGCTCCCCCGGCCGACATCTACGACGAAGACAAGGACTACCAACCCGCCCCGTGCCTATCGCTCTCGCACACATGCCGCCAGTTCCGACAGATCCTGCTGTCGTCACCCAGCGCTTGGACCCTCATACCCGTCAACTGTCACATCGACTGGACCCGCGAATGCCTGAGGCGTTCGCGCCCGGTGCCCTTCTCGCTCGTCAACGAGCGCGACTCTCACTGGATGGACGACCCCGGCAAAGGGGAAGATGCTAAGATGTTGGCCCTTCGCGAGTTGCATCGCATTCGCGTCTTGTCACTTCCCGGGGAGGACCCAGCTATCTGCCATTCGCTCATGCGTCGCGCTCCCGAGCTGGAGTTCCTATCGATCGGATATTTTAATACAGCGGCGACTCTACCGCGAGATCTGCTTGGCGCAGCCAATATACCGCTACCCAAACTCAGATCTGTTGAGCTGGAATGCCTTTCCATCCATCGTGACGCACATCTTCTGCGCGCTACTACATTGACAAATCTCACCATTGTCGTCTGCAAGTTATGGGACAACACGGACGCCATGATCTCTGCGCTTTCAGTCCTGGAGAACCTCGAGCTGCTTCATGTAGAGCACTCTATCATCACAAAGTCCTTCACCCACTCTCAGACGAACGCCCCCCGCTGCATCAACTTACCGCGTCTGAGATACCTGATGCTCTTCAACGACTTCTACCAGAATCTGTTCTTGCTCCACTACCTGCAATTGCCTCAATCGCTGCATGCGCTCTCCCTCCGTAATAATGAAGCGCCCGCTGCACACGCACTTTACGACAGCACGCTTCAAGGTTTCCGTGCACTCGCCCTTCCCACTCTGGCACCGTATATGGACGATCTTGTCAACGCCAATCACGGCTCTCTCAAGCTCACGTTGAGCGTCAACTCAAGATATGTTGACATCGCTGCTTCCTGGCCCATCTCTGCAGAAGACAGCCAGCTGGAACGATTCGTGGAGCCGGATCCAGACTACCGTCATCCTTGCCTGAGTGTGCATGTTCCCCATCATGGACCTGGCAGGGTGAAGTTCACTCCGGAGGGTTGTCAGATGCTGGATGCGCTCGTACAGGATCGGGCGTTTTACGCCTCTTCGCGGATATTATCCGTCGACGGCGCCGCCGAAGTTCTGTCTGATCCTCGCGCGTGGGCGGCCGCGTGCAATCTCCCACTCGTGGAGATACTCAGTCTCAATCGCGAATCCGCGCCGGGACTCGTCCTCGCATTGTCAACGAGTTGTGACCGGATGCCGCGATTCCCGAAGCTGCGAGCTGTATATTTCACCGGCGTGATTTTCGACAACACCGAACCGCCCAACGTCGACCCAGAAGATTCTGCCTCGTTGGACTCAAGTGCTGAGGAGGAGTACACAGGAAGTGATAACCCGCCGCCTCGCCCAGCCACCCTTGATTCACTCTTCGATAGGCTCATGGTCGCGATGGAACCATGGTTCAAGCTTGATACCTTCGAACGTGTGGTTATTTGGAGAAGCACGATCGCCGACGAGATGATTGATTCTCTCCGAGCCAGAGTCGGTGCAGGTGCCGTGGATTGGGATGGTGTGCGTGACGGTGCTCGGCTCGAGGAAGACGAAGACGACGAAGAGGGGAATTATATTTTGTAATGAATTCCCATCGTACTGTGTGTATAATAGCAATATGGAGTGATGCATGTCAGACCCACCACGTGTAGAACGGCAGACACTATCGGCTGGGTATGTATATGTAAGACTCAACGAAGCGTGAACCCTTGCGACATACACGCACGTTGAACAGCAAAATGTCCACTCTTAGATGACACGCATGCGGCTCTTACCGAGTATCAGGCGCTGCATACGTAGAATGTGTCACGCCTACGGTACTGCTTCTCGGCGAGGTTGGCACCACGTCACGATTCAGGACAGAGCCAAGGTGGCGCAAGAGTCGCCGACTCTCCTGTCAATACACGTACTGGCCGAGGCAACTTGGAATCAGAGTCGTAGAAGACTGAGTACCTCAGCTCAGTACGCGTCCGGAGGAGCCGTTTATACCGCGAGGGCTGGTGATCTCGAATTGGGGTACTGGACCGTGACACTTCATTCTCGAATCGATCAGACCAGTCATGAACGCATATCCATGATAAGACTCTGGATGAAAGCTAAAGTATGCCGATGTTTGCATTCATCCCGAGGCAGGTGCTGGACGTTCAGTCGAAGTTGCATGCCTCGGCGCCGGCATCGTCTTTCGTCGCGTTATCGACGCGACGTTGCGCGAGTGCAACTTGTCCCGAGCTCCCACCACAAACAAGCCGCTGTCTCAGCGTTGTCCTTGTACTCAGCCGCACAGTCGCTGACTGTACTGATAGAAGCATGCGGGCAGGTTCTATTTCACAGCAATGCTGTCAACCAGAAAGACGATTGTTCCACGCATCGGTGTCGGCCACGCGGATGACTAACCCTTCGCTGGTTGAGTTCGGCTGACCAAAGCAAGACAGCTTATTCCCTGCATCGCTCAGCAGTCCTCGGGCGTCTATTGTGTACGGCTTACTCTATCTCTACGCTATCCTCGGCCAGGTGCAACTGTCTATAAAAGCAGCTATGTCGAAATTCGAAAGAAAACAGCTCCAGTAGCACATCCATCCTCTCTACAACCAGTCCACCGCTCAATCAACTTCTCATCAAAATGTCCACCTCTGTCCTCATTGCTGGTGCCACCGGTACGTTCCCAAGTTTCCTCCGCATTGAACATCCCACTGATCGGCTTCTGCAGGTCTCATCGGTGCCTCGGTCCTCCAGACCATCTCCAAGGACTCGAAGTACGCCATCACCGCCCTCGTCCGCTCTGAGGACAAGGCCAAGAAGGTCGCCGAGATCACTGGCGTCAAGACCATCGTCGGCTCGCTCGAGGACACCGAGCTCCTGACCAACAAGGCCGCTGAGTTCGACGTCGTCCTCCAGATCGCCGACATCTTCAACCTGCCCGCCACCACCGCCCTCCTCGCCGGCGCGAAGAAGCGGTTCGAGGCCACCGGCAAGGCGCCCATCCACATCCACACCTCCGGCACCGGTATCTGGGCCGACCTCGGCTCGAACGGCGCTGCCCCCTCTGGCAAGATCACCAAGGACACCGACGCTGACCTCGTCGAGACGTACAACGGCCTTCCCCACAACCCGCCCGCCAAGGCTGTTGTCGACGCCGGCGCCGCTGGCTACGTCAAGACGTTCACGGTCTACCCGCCCACCGTCTGGGGTGCTCCCTCTGGTCCTCTGTTCGAGGCCGGCATTGCGCACGTCGGCTCGATCCAGCTTCCTCTCTCGATCAAGACTTCGATCGGCCGTGGCCAGGGTGGTGTTGTCGGCGAGGGTCTCAACGTCTGGAACCACGCACACGTTGACGACAGTGCGTGTTCTCTTTTCTACGTCTACTACTCCTCTTGCTGATCTTCGCTCGCAGCTGCCTCTTTCTACGTGACGCTCCTCGGCAAGGCCGTCGACGGCTCTGCCCCCTCTGGCGCCAAGGACGGCCACTACATCATCGAGAACGGCGAGTACCAGTACAAGAAGCTCGCGGAGACCTACACCAAGGCTCTCCACGCCGCCGGCAAGTCCGCCTCGCCCGAGCCTACCAAGTTCGAGCAGAAGGAGTTCGAGGCCATCGGCTTCCTCTTCATTCTCGGCACCAACTCGACGACCGCCGGCCCCCGCGCACGCTCGCTCGGCTGGACGCCGAAGTACTCCACCGACGACTTCTACGCATGGGTGCCCAAGGAGGTCGACGCTGCCATCGCTGGCAAGCTCGCGGGCGGTGTTTACTAAACGGGTCGCATAGTTAAACTGCAATTTGTATCATCAGTCATATTCGCATCATTACATATACCATTTGGGCTTCGGGATCACTGCACTGGTGTGAGGACGAGTCTGATTCGCTCGCTGTAAGTCGGCTTCTGTAGTGCTCAGGTGGTCGAAGATATGATTTTGCGCCTTTCGAGCATCCTCGAACGCAGCCATGACTGTATGTCACAGTATGTATCGCCGCTTGCGTCCGTGCGCCCGAGTACTTACTCCCATTATGGTCTGGCTCATACCTTAATCAACAGTCCTACTATAAGTATGGCGATATCCGGGTGCCCTGAGGAAGAGCGGGGTCTTCCTGCTGGCCGCATTCGCATTTGCATGTATCATATCTCCCCCAAACCTCTTGCATGTTGAAGCAGCAGCGGTTCATTCAAGCTCGGCGCACAATGGATTGTTGTACATATGGAGCTGGCATGATGATACTAGATAAATTCCAGGAAAAGAGCAACTCTCGGACTAGTCGTTCTGTCCAATATGTGAGTACGTGCTGCATATGACGTTCTAAGATGACGGCTCACATCGCAGGAGACGAAACCGTTTGTCTCAGAAGCGCCTGTGTGCGTGATTACGGCGCAGTAGTTGCCATCAGTGTCGAAGACGACGCGGTCCGCTCCAGGGCTGCCACCGTCGTATGTACCGGACTCCAGAATCGGGAACTGGACGCAAAGTCAGGCAAGCTGATAGCCAAGAAACATCTGCGCATACGTACCTCGAGCCAGCTGCTACCCGAGCAATAGAGTGTCAGGCCCTCATCGTCACGGAATGTGTGAGGGTAGCTGTCTACGATGCTCGGTTAGCTAACCATCACAAGTTATCTAGAGAGCGACTTACCGGAGCCGATAGGGTCATCGACATGATCAACGCCGGCGCTCACTGCAGCGGAGACCTCATCGACGGTGTAATCATTGCTACCGCACGTAACATCGCCCGAGGGCAGGTCCCGACGCGTTGGCGAAGCGAATGCAAGGCCAGCAAGCGCAGAGGCAGCGACCAACGAGCGGACGAGGGCGAGCATGGTAAAGACCACGAACGGGGTTGAGCCACAGGAAGAGCTTCACAATTTATATCTCGGCGCGCCATATGAGCATGCGTCCCGGATCGTATCGACAGTCCAACGAGCCAACGTTGTCGCAGATATGAGAACGTGCGCGTGGTTGTAGACGTATAGCCATGCAATACCATGTGCATCTGTGCGACCAGTCCGATCCGTATACAGGGAAGCCCCTACGGCAAGATGGTCGACGTTCCATCCGCAGCTATGCCCGCGGCACAAATCAGAGAAAGTGTCTGTTCATAGCGCCCATAGCGCCCCTTCTGTCTTCCTCCTACTTTAATGGCAACCAACGTTGGTGAAGCGACGTGGACATTGCCAACGGGTGGCCTAACGGGGTATGAACATGCTGGTATCCAAAAGATAGACGCTCGGGCAGTCAGAGCATTACCATCTTGGGTCGAGCACGTCGCCAAGAGACGAACGAGTAGAGCGTCAAATCGCCCCGTAGAGAACGTATGTTCCTGTACGACAATCATGTGGGCCAGCGCAGTCTTCGTACGTGCCAATACGCGCTGTCGATAGAGGAAACTGCTTATCGTTCCTCAGAACTCGTATACACGCAGCGCTCAGCTAGAGCCCCACAAATAGCTTCACTCCCAGCTGCCACGGCCGATCATCACGGCACACGATGTATCAGAGCATGAAGAATAGGGGTGACACGGAAGGATGATGGGGGCGGCGGTCAACAGCCTCAAGACTCCGGTAGTCTGCATCAAATTTGGAGAGCTTGGCTTGTAAGATCCGGCTTTCCCAAAAAGGAGCGGTTAGCTGACACATCTCGCGTGCGTCATGAGCCAGCGTCAGCGCTGAGCGCGTCAGCGAAATCGGAAGAGTTCACAGGCGGGAACACTCAAGTTGGTGTGGTAGCCTGTGGTAGCGCAACCCGGCATCCCGTTACAATTTCCGCTACGTTTGCACCCTTCTGGCTGATGGCATGCTCTCTAGTCCAATGTTACCTCAGTATGTGATACAGCTTGTGCTATGGAGGTCGACGATGGGGGAGGAAAAACAACGCGCCCGACGAAGTTCGGGTGAATTCTGGTCACGTTCGGTTCGCCACAGGCTTCCTTGCGTGATGAGCATGACGCTCGCTGGCTGATTTGCGTCATCGCTTTTCCATTCTGGGATGGCTCGAGCTTACAAGCCAAGGTCTCCAAATTTGAGGCAGACCATGCATCGGAACGACTGTCTTCCGTGCATGGTCTGCATCTGGAGACTAGACTCCGGCAGCCGGACTCCTCGTAACGAGGGAGTGACGCGGTCACGCGAGAGACGCGAGCAGAACGCGGTTGTGAGGATCACCTAGACGGCGAGTGCGCCATCATAGGGGTCCGACAGAGTTCGAGATCTGAAGAAGGCCTTTTGCCTCTGTGAGCAGTGTACCAAGAAGCTGACAATAAAGGACTATTCGTCTTATTCGAACGGCAGTCGGACGTCGGAGAGCACGTGGGTGTTCATATCGGCGTCGTCCGACCAGTTAGCCTAGACCACCACCACCACCACCACCGTCTTTTTCTGCTACAGTCATGTCTAGAAACGGCTATAAAGCCCAGGGGCTGACGGATCCTGTCTCCGCCCGGCGACTGCACAACGACGGAGCCGTCATCTTTCGAGCACTCTCCGTTGAGGTCCTCAGGATTGTTGTCTCCCACCTAGCAATTGAGGCGGAGAAACTGTGGCAGGAAGGCGTATTCAATATAACGCCAGGTCTATCTCTATCTCACGCGTGCTCCCGCTGGCGGGAGATCGCCATCACTACTCCGGACATCTGGACGATCATCCCTCTCACAAATACTAAATGGGCCCGGGAATGCCTGAGCCGTTCGCAAACTCTTCCTATTCGTTTCCTCGCCGACCCCAGCGACAGCGAACGCGCCAAGCAGTTGTCACTGAAGCAGCTTGAGCGCGTACAAATGCTCGTGACAGAACAAGAGGATGACGATGACGAGGGTTGTCCTGCGCTATGGGCTTCCGCACCGGTGCTGGAATACATGCGCATCATGTTCGCATTTCCATCCGAGCGTCAGCCAGCCGCTTTTAGCAACTTCTTCGGAGGGCAAGCGCCGCCTCGCTTGAGAGAGGTCTCCATCACAAGCGCGGCGCTATGTGGTCCAACGATTCCCTTTTTGCGAGCTCGGACTATCAAAAGCTTGAACTTCTCATGCTGTACCCTGTGGAATACTCTGGAGGATATGCTGGATACACTCTCGTGTGTTCCCGAATTGGAGGAGCTGATGCTTGAATATTCCACAATCATAATTAACCGTCCTTCATCGTGGGACCCGCGCCCTTCCATCGACATGGCCGCATCACCAACATTTATACCCCTCCAACTAGCCCATCTGCGAAACCTATGGTTCAAAACCGATTTCTTTCAAGCGGCGCTTGTTCTGCGTCATATCTCTCTTCCCCAAGATATACACACGCTAGGCCTACAGATCATCGACGGTTGCCCGATGGATAGGGTCGGCGACTATTATAAGGCACTCTTTCTCCCAACGCTATCGCCCATTCTTCACGAGTTCTCTGAACAGCCGTTGTCTTCCCGTAGACTGGCATTCACGCTGTCATCGGGGTCGTTCGACATTATGGCGAGCAAACCACTGCGACCTGGCGTCGTCTTGAGCCGGTATGCAGGGCGCCACCATGTCATTACCAATGATCGCGCCGGCGATGGCTCCTTCCTAAGGCTTCAGTTCCGCTACAACTCACTCACGGAAAGCGGGTATTCCTTACTGGAATCCGTCGCCGAAACGGCACCCGCACTCTTCTCTGTGGGCTCGCTCACTCTGAAGGGTGATTTAGACGAGGCCCTAGCGTTGTCCGAGGTGGCATGGCCCACTGCTCTTCGCCATATGCATGTAGCCGAACATCTTGAACTCGACTGTGGGGGATCGGTGGGGTTTGTATATCACGGGAGTGTTTCGTGGATTGAACAGAACCAACCCCACACCCTCTGTCTGCGCAATGTCACTTTGGATACAACGACGGGCTTTAACAACCCGGAGGACTTTGAAGAATCCCAGAAGGAGACCTTCTTCGACCTCGTGAGGGAAAAAGTCATGCGCCCTTGGCTCAAATCGAATGCCCTCAAACGCGTGATCGTACGCGATTGCCCCCTTCAACCCTGGATGCTGGATGAATTGGAGGCGCTGGTGGATAAAGAGGGCGTGGATTGGGATCACGTCTTCCGTGGACAAGGTGTGGTGGAAGGGAAGAGGGCGCCATACGATGCTGAGCTGAGCTCCGATCCGGACGACGATGAGTACTGAGTACGCGTACTTCGGTCCTACAAGGGGTTATTGCATCGGGATTGCGGCCCGACAGCCGGAAGCCCCTGTCGCGCGTCGCGCGTTCTCATCACCCGTATTCCCATCTCATCTTAGAGTATATGTAGTCTGAATATATTGTTGCTTAGATATACAACTGAGACGAGTACCTTTAAGCCGCAGTCGTACGGCAACATGCCGCCCTGAGGGATACAATAATGACGCTCGTTGCCGGGCGGTGAAATGATGTCATACTGATACTCCACCCTCTCAGCTTGGTATATAGCAGAACTGACGGTTTCGTCCTTCCTCACTATTCACGCCCACTTTCTATCCACTACCCACTGCTCTCTCCAACCCACTATGACTGAAGCCCAGAACAGCCAGTACGTCCGCGCTCGTGCTTTACACGCATCTCAATTCGCTGATCTATGTTTGTAGACATCTTCCCTCCGAGACCGTGCAGCCCACGCAGGTCGATGACGCACCGCAACAGGCAAGCACGCAACCTGGAGATGGCTCGGAGGTGCAGGTGCAAGGCGGCAAGCCCAGCTTCAAAGAGCAGGTTATTGGTTATGCACAGGTACGTACTCACCAGCATGCCACACGCCGCGAGTGTTGTGCTTATACGTTAAGCAGAAGACGCGCGGGGCTACTCTAGGAAAGCAAGAGCTTAAGCAACATGGGGAGGCAGTCATCCAGGGCCAGGCTGACGCGCGCGAGCCTCCACCAAAGCACTGAGCGGCTTCGATCCACGTCCTGCTGCCGATTGTCCCACAACTTGGAATTGTTTTGTACACTACTCCCATGTACCATAGTATGTCATTACACTCATCATCTATGTTGTACGATACCATATGCGATGGTTGAAAAGGCCGCAAAGGCGGTTACAAGAAGAACAGAAAGTAAGTGATGAGGGCGTCATAGTCCACCTATCTTCTCCTCGTCCTCGTCGAGCTTTGGAACTTGCTAGTCTCTCGCCTCAACCTCCTACTCGCTCTCTCCCGCTCGATCTCCCTCCTCTCGATCTCTTCAGCCGTGAGTTCCTCCCACCTTGTCCCGAATTCCTCCGCCTCCTGCCAGTCCCGCCACACACTCCTCAACACCCGTGGTCCGCGCACTTCGCGCGGTGCACGGCTCCATCCCATGCCCAACCCCGTCTTATCCTTGATCATGCCCGCCGTCACGCCCGGCGCCGCGAGCGCGGGCTCAATCGCCGGGTTTGCACTATTTTCGCTCGACCCTCCCAGAACGCCCCACTCAAGCGCATCCTTCTTGTGCTTCAACAACTCCTCGTGTATCGCATGCGCGACAAGTGGCGCAGCCTCACCCGCGAGCCCAAGCTCTCGACACAACTGTGTCGCAAAGACCTCCGGCGTCAACGGACTCCGCAAATCCCATTCGATATGATCGAGCAGATGGAAGTTGTCGATCTGCACGTCTATACTGAGAATGACGCGACATTCCGGCGTCTCGCCCGTCCCAGGTTGTGTTCCATCCACTGCGAGTTCAACGCCGGCAATCTGCTCGCTCTCTTCGAGCTGAGCGCGTATCTGCGCGGCGATAGTGTCCGCCCAGCCGGGCGCGAGATCGAGGTCGGCGCAAAATGCTTGGGCGAAAGTTTCCGGCGTCAAAAGGCGTTCTCGGGCGTCCCATACGAAGCAATCGCGGATCCTGTGTGTGTCGGTTTCAAATTCCACACGAATCGGCACGGGCGCTACAGATTGATTTGCTTGATCCAATAGTTGCTCTTCAGAACTGTATGTACATCCATATCAGTACAGAAAATACCCCAACCGTGATAGCCAAAGACGTACAAAGCGTCACGTGGCGTCGGCGCGGCAGGTTTGGTGCTGATGAATCGCGCGGGGGGTATTCCGCCCAGATAAGACTGCTCCAGTTCTCCGGTTTTTGGAGGTGGCGGTCCTGCAGGCGCGGCGCGTGGTGGGCCGGTTGCACCTGCGGCACCTCGCATATTCCGCACGCTAGTTCTCAGCCCTCCCGACGCCATGAAGTCTTTGTCGTCTCCGTCCGAGTCGATCTCCCCAGCATCAGGGATTTCGTCGCCGCTACCCGGCTCGGCATAGGAGACCGTATTGGCGCCGCGACGCGAACGAGTGGATGTTTGTGCGGCGGTAGCATTCGAGCTGGAGCTGGCGAGTATGGGTTGCATGAGAAGAGTCGCGCCTGTACGCAAACGCGAGGCATAGGTTGTCTGTACTGCCTGTGGCGTAGTGGGTAGTACGGCTCCCGCTGGACGACGAGCATATTGAGGAGTATAAGATGCGGCAGCTGCCCCAGTGACAGATGTAACGGCAGGTTGTGGCACAGCGGAGTGCGAGCGTCGCGTATTTGATGAAGCCGCGGCAGCAGGCGTCTCTATACGCTGAGGCTGCTGACCGGTGATAGTGGAAGCATAGTTTGAATAAGACGCGGAAAGCTGCGATATTTGCTGGCGCAGTTGCGAGTCCGTGAGATTTCCAACTTTCACGTTGACAGCCATTTTGCAGATAAGATCGCGTCTAAGAGCCTAAAGACGAAAGAGTGCGGGAGAAAAGGCTCGTAGAGCAGCCAGGTCAAAAGACGCGTCTCGGTCGAAAGTCACGATGGACGTGGTTGGAAGAGAAGGACGCGCGCGAGTCGCGATGCCGCGGCGCGTCGTGGCACCGAGTTTATTCTTCCCAGCGCGTCCATGACGAGGACATGCTTCGAGCCTGCCTCGTCCGCACACGACCTGTCACTCCTTTACGACGACTATATTCCGACTCAAAGGCGCCTAATCACAATGCAGAGCTCGTCGAATATCTCAGTAAGAGTGCGTATACTCAGCCAGAACGGTGTCACCAACCTCACTGACACCTGCATAGTCCTGGAAGAGGAGAAAGCCGACCCCGTGGCCAACCAGTACAGGATACGCTCACTTGCACATGCTATACTCTCCGTGCAGACTGCACCACATCCCATCACGTCCGGAAAGGAGGCTATCAAGGTAAGGGGTACTATTACCGTTCTGGGCATGTTCATCAACTCGCGTGCAGCTTCCCCGCGTCGGCAAAGGCACAGCCGACAGGATCGAGATGTTCTTGCAGGGCAAGAAATACGTGAGCATCGTTGCTCACTCCGCAAGGGGCTAGACTGAAGCGTAGTAACCTGCCAGGGAAGCGAACACGAAGCCGCTCAGCGCGAGAGGTTCAAGCTGTCGAAGGCCCTACAGACTATACCCGGCCTGGGGTAAGTGGTCTTTTTCTTGCACTCACAGTGCACTCACGCGAACTTCTAGCTCGAGAACAGCAGACAGCCTCATAGCAGATGGCGTAACCTCACTCTCTGAACTTCGCCATCCTGAACACTTCCGGCGTCTCTCCCCTGCTCAGCGCATTGGCCTCGTATACGCCAAACCGCTTTCGGATCCCATATCTCGCCTGGATGCCGAGATGGTGGCCGTATGTACAGCAGTTATGTGTCACCGGTATTCGTGTATTGACCTCATCCCTGCAGGACTTCATCCGCGACCACATCTCGTCCAACTTCAAAGTCGAGCTTATGGGCGCTTAGTGAGTGATGCGGGACCATCATGCCTTCTACGCAATCTGACAGCTCCATTCAGCCGCCGTGAACTGGCAAACGCATCCGCCATCACAATCCTGCTCTCGCACCCCTCCGTCGTACATGTTCCAGTACCCTCACGGGTTAAACCCCCGCCAGTTGGCTCAGGCAAGATATCTCCACCTTTTACGGACATCGCCTCGCGGTACTCTTTGTCACCACTCTCCTCCAACGGTACAAAACACGAGAGCACTCTGGCACTCGCACAAGATGTGGTCCGACCTCTGGAGGACGTCGGCCTAATCGCCGCTACGCTTGTATCCCAAACGCGCCGCTGGTTGGGAGTTGCAGCACTTCCGACGCGTGAGCTCGATGGACGATGGGGCAACATGGGCGAACGTCTGCGCGATATTCGTCGTCGACGTGGACGCTTCGTCTCGCTGAACCTCTCACTCGCGCCACTCAAAAGTTTGGGCGCCGCTCGACTCTTCCTGACGGGTGACGACGATTTTGTGCGTGCCGCCCGCTTGGCAGCAATGCGCCAAGGACTATTGCTCAACGAATACGGGCTGTGGCGCTGGATTCCCGGGCCCCGCGCTCCACCCAGTCAGATCTTCCCAGATAGGCCTGCTGTTGGGCGAGGAAAGGAACAATGGAGTACATCGACTCGCGATGACGGGTTGGAGGGACACTGGGAGCTATTGGAAGCGGAGACCGAAGAGGAGATACTCGAGCAGTTGGGCATGGGCTTGGTTCCTCCCGCGAAGCGCAACTTTATGTTCTTGCGGCCGCGCTCGGATATTCGAGCGAAGCATGAGCATAACGAGATGCTTGTTCCTCCCGATGAGGTGCTCGACGCGATGCACGAGGATCTTATCGCATCAGGCGGAGTTTATACGCCCAGAGGGAAGAAGGTCGGGCGGCCCAGGACGAGAACGCGTATGGAAGTGGGAGGCATACGCGAGGCACGACCGCGTGGGCGACCACCAAAACAACCCCCTCAGCTTCCTGAGAGCCCGACACCACCGGATCTCGACGACTTCGATGCCGTGGATTGACGCTGACCCTCTTTGTACCATATACTGTTTATAATGCACATACCAACCGCTATCCTGATGCTTTCGCCATGCACGCATGTCTCATCACTACTTTAGGCCGGAACAATATACACCATTCACCCTGATGAATATGAACTCTACTTATACAGACATATACAATACATGTTGTCAACAAAGTCGGACTATCTAGTATGCGCCACCAGAGAGCTTGCCAGCGATGGCAGCGTCAACCTCATGCGGGATCCATGCATAGAAGTCGTCGGTGGTGTACTTGGGCTTCCAGCCGAGCGAGCGCGTGCGGGGACCTTCTGCAATGGCATTCGTACCGAGGATGAAGAGGAAGCCGATGGCCTGGAACTCCTTGTCCTCGAACTTCGTCGGCTCAGGCGAAGCAGACTTGCCCCTGGCGTGGAGAGCCTTGGTGTAGATCTGTGCGAGCTTCTTGTACTGGTACTCGCCATTCTCGACGATGTAGTGACCATCGAAGGGGCCGGATGGCGCGAAACCGTCGACAGCCTTGGACAGGAGGAGGTCGAAGAATGAGGCAACTAAGGAAGGCATTAGGTCAAGGATATGCAAGGATAGGATGGCGAGAACGTACCGTCGGCGATGTGTCCATGGTTCCAGATGTTAAGACCGTCACCGACAATACCTCCCTGTCCGCGAGCAATGGAGGTCTTGATGGAGAGCGGCAGCTGGATCGAACCGACGTGTGCCAGACCAGCGTCGAAGAAGGGGCCGGACGGGGCACCCCAGATCGTGGGCGGGTAGACGGTGTAGGTCTTGACGTAACCGGCCTTGCCAGCCTCATAGACAGCGGTAGCCGGCGCAGTGTGAGGAAGTGCGTTGTAGTGTGATACGAGGTCGTGGTCGTTGTCCTTGGTGACTTTTCCAGAGGGAGCGCCGCCGTTCGAGCCGAGGTCGGCCCAGATACCAGTGCCGGAAGTGTGAATGTAGACAGATGGCTTGCCAGTCACCTCGTAGCGCTTCTTCGCACCAGCGAGAAGCGCCTGGGTACCGGGAAGGTTGAAGATGTCGGCCTGAGAGTCATCAGCACAAGATCATTCTCCGACAGGCAATTCGACGTACCATCTGAATGATGACATCGAACTTGGAAGCCGTCGTGGTCATCAACTCGGCGTCCTCAAGAGAGCCGACGAGGGTCTTGACACCAGCGAGCTCGCGGACCTTCTTCCCCTTCTCCTCGGAGCGGACAAGTGCGGTGATGTCGTATTTGGGGTTCTTAGAGATGAGTTGGAGAACCGAAGCACCCATGAGACCTATACGATTCCGGATTTCAGCATATAGTTCAACGACGTCGAGCAGCGAACACACCGGTAGCGCCGGCGAAGAAGACAGAGACAGCCATGTTTGTGAGGGAGTGTTGTGAGAATGTGTGGGGGCTACTAGAGCTGACCCATCACTCACGAAGCCCTCTTCCTTTTATACGCGACGCACAGCGCCCAGTCGCCACAGGGAAAGATCATTTCAACGCCGAGCTGCGAGGCCGGATTGTTGCTGACCGCCGCCGAACCTAGTGTTACATCAGCAAGCGTTCGGGCCCTGACTGCGGAATTGTAGTCAATAAACACACACCATTAATGGTCCCACAACGCTACAAGATCACAGTCGCGATAAGGACCGGATCGTTTCAATGTTTGATACAACACACCGCGGTGTGAGCCGGAATAGGGCCTTATATAGGTAGGCCACCGACTTGCCAGTGAGCTACCACAGTCAGTAAACACATTAGCCCGCGCCGTCTAGGACGCGATCAGGAAGCGAGGAACTTGACACTGCCCGTACCCGCGGGCGTGGTGATTGCTCAGCAGACGCTGCCGCGTAGGTGAGTATGTCAACCTGAGCTGAGAAAGACGAGAAGCGCATAGTAAAGCAGCGGGATGCCAACATTGATTATTTCATTCCGCGAGCCCGCCCATGACCAGCCCACCGCCAATGTTGCGGTGAACAGCAGCCACGAGCGTGGTCGCCTGTGAGCCTCCTCGAGTTGAGTTAATGATCGGCAAGCGTTGCTTTGATGTTGAGGTAGGATAGGCAACGTCCACTTCCACGGTTCAACCTTATGGTATTGAGAGCCCGCTGAGACCGCCAGTAATGGTTTGACATAACCACAGAGCAGGGTGCAACGCCGCGGTGTCCGAGAGTAAGAGGAAGCGCGCAGCCACGCTACGCCGTTGGGTGTGTCTTCTTCGGATCTCAGCTGAAACTAGATCCACAGATCTTTCACCGCGCGCCTCAACGGCGTAAATATATTCGATGTGCCCGGTTAATACTCTGGATCGCGCGCGCGAGGGCAATACTGAGGACGTGAAAGCCGAAGGCAACTCGAACCGCGGCGCAGACCGCGTTGCATGACAGTCGGGCCGATGGCGCTCCGGGTTTACCCACACTGTTGCGCGGTCTGTCTTGAGCCTCTTGCCTTTGTCCTGGCCCTCGATGTTCTTGCGAGATCCTAGTGACTATGTGTAGTTTGAAAACAGGCATCGCGGGACGGGCGTTGCAGACAACAGGCGGCTAATATCAATCAGGTCCATACTACTTGACAGATGATACAATATGCATCGGAGAACAAGCACCTACAAATACAGATAAACGGGGTCTGGGATCGTGTATGAGTTCTAACGTATATGAGATCGTAAGATGTGGGGGTATATGAGTGAACAAGATATGGATCGATGAGTATTGCATGGTTCAGGCTTTCAATATCCGTACTGCACCGTCGCGAACCAAGCGTGAATAAGGGCATCGCTGGTCAACAATCAACATATATTCCAGGCAAGGGTATCACAGAAACGTACCTGATTGGCAGCGGCGATAAGAGCGTCATCGTCACAACCCTCGACTGTGATTATGACCTCGACGTCGAAGCCATTGCTCTTAGGGCCTCCATGCCCGAGCACGACGTCTGCGCGTGTCCTCGTATTCCGAGCAATCTTGAGCTTGCCTTGGTACGAGGCCATTTGTTGGATAGCGTTGGAGAAGCAGGCCGCGTACGCCATGGCAAAGAGCTGCTCAGGATTCTGACCGCGTTTGGTGCCGCCCATAGCGGCTGGTGGGCTCATCTGAAGCTCCCACGGTTCTTTTTCTATTGTGGCGACGGTGCCGAACCGACCACGAGCGTCGGCAACAGCCTTGGCCGCGTACTGTGTGGATATTCAGCTGCAGCGCAACCTCTAGAGCCAGCTGGAACATACCACCCGGTTGTCGATCCGGGGTGTCTTCTCTACGGCGGCAGCGGCGCGCAGAGGAGAGTTACGGACAGGACCAGGTTTTACGCTGGGGATAGCGGTGGAAGCGCGAGAGACGGTGCGAGAGACGGCGGACATGGCAATGTATATTGTTTTAAGTGTCTAGGGTATGCGTGGTTGGGCCGTTGGTCGTGAGTTGTGAGTGGTCTATGCAATGGTGAGGAGGAAGAGCAATCGAGACAGCCGCTTATATGTCAGACAAAATCTGTGTGGAGCACACTTGCCCACGACGAGCTCGACATTTTTTGACCAGCGCTCGCTGTTCGGCTCGTCGGCGCGTGATATCATCGCACAACGCATAGAATGTCGAGGTCATCGCATAGAACATCGTCGCCAGCGATTGCCCAAACGGGTCTGACATTGGGGCTCCACACCACCAGGGTGGCGTCGGCTAAGAACGGACGCATCCGGATCGCGTGGGTTTTGATCACGGTCTCGGCCCTACAGGTGACCGGAAACTGCGCTTCAGAGAAGAACAGTATTGTACAAGCACCAGATGCGAGGATAATGAGTATACAGCTCATATACTTAGCCAACGGCGATAGAGAGCCTCTGCGAGCGGGGCTGCGCCGGTGGTCACGTAGATTATCGATAGGTTGTACGCGGTCTCCTTCGCTAACCCAACATCCTGGAGGCCGCTTATGAGTGACCAGACTTGAACGAGGACTATGCTACTCGCCTGCGGATTTATCCGTGTCCTAGCTTCAGCAAGCTCGAGTACCCGCTCGTAATGCTTGACCGCATGCGAATTGAGGCCTTCAGAGAGCGTCAGCGACATGACCCGTGTGCGGTGTATGGTGGAGACAATACCTAGCGTCTGGAAAGCACGGCCGAAGTTGAACTCGACCTCTTGCAGGCCATCAGGATCCCCGGCCCGGAGTTCGCGGTAATGCGTCAAGAAAGCCATGGCCTGTGCTATGAGGTGATGCCGGTTATCCGCCTGTCGCTGCATAGCGCGGCCCATCGATGCCACAGCAAGGCAGAGGTTGACCACAGGATCATCCGGACAATAGTCATACGCATGCAAAAGGTAGACTATGAACATTTTCAGTAGGTACAGATAGACTTTGAGCTGATGGACGTACACAGTGCGCTCTGGTAGCTCTTCGCAGCGAGTGAGATCTGGCCGTAGATGGTGACAAGGAGTGGGTTATTTTTGGTCGGTAGCTCAGATGCATCACCTTTGGCATCACCAACGCCATCGTCAGCCTCTTCGTCTTTGTCGTCTGCGTCTCCCCTGTTGCCTTTACCGAGGGATACACCCCAGCGCTTGTTTGCAGCGTGAAACTTCACTTTGTCGCGAGAGTGCACCGCAGCATCTGATAGCTTGATCTCACGCAGTAACGCCTTCTGAAGCGTACTGACGATGAAGACGTCCGTCGCATGGAGACCGGAGGCGAGAGATGCGCATAGCAACCGTAGTGGTTCGTTGTTGAATTGGTGGGAGTAAATCAAGCGACGAGATTGCTCCAGTACTGTGGTGAAGTGCTTTGAGTATGCCGCGCACGCTGTAGAACATGGTCAGTGGTGTACAGTACGCCTATGCAACCTATCCTCACCCATGATGGCTAAACGGATTGTATCCCGCATGTCGCCGCGGATGATCTTCGAGTATAGAGTATGACCGAGGACCTCGTTCGCCAGCTCCCATTGACCTTGCTTTGTCAGGACAAACGCATACTAGCTGAGGATCAGTTTCGGATCAATTCGATGCTGAGATAGCGAGGCGTACCTGCATGATGAGACGCAGCCAGTCGTCGAAGGATATGCCTCTGAACTCCGTTAGCTCCTCGACATCTTTCAGTACTCGCTGGCTAGCTTTGTCCTGGTCTGGGGAACGTTAGCGTATCGAATATGAGGCTCATGAACTTACGTACCGAGATCAGCTTGGAGCCTAGATGCCATATCATCCTCCTCAGCCTCATCGTCAGATGCCATCTTCTTCCTCCTTGTCCCCCTTCTCTGCCCTGCCATCCCTCGAAACACCTTTCCAGTCGTGAACATGTCTCTCGTACTCCTGAACATCTCAACGAGCTTCTCCGTCTCGAGTAGCCATTCGCGCTCGGCCTCCTCTTGTCCGCTCATCATCGCGGGCCATAGCTCGCGAATACGCTTATACCACCCCAGAGCCTGCTCTTTGCGCTCATTCTCCAGCTTGAGAAGTTGGGCGGGAGTCATCGACTTCTTCGCCGTACGTGCAGAGCGGCGTGCTTCGCGTTCGCGGAAAAGCGAAGAGCCACCTTCGGCTTCAGTGGTGCCTTCGTCCATCTCCGAGGCATCCCTCGCAGACCCGTCTGCCCGTCGTCTACGTTTGCGACTGTCAATCACTATGTCCGTTCAGTGAAGAGCCACAATGCAAATACGTGTTGCTGCACCTTGATAGACAAGATCTAGCGCTTTGCGTGGTTCGCCCGACACCTCGTAGATCTCCGCCAATCGCATCTTCGCCGCGTTACTCGTCGGATCTGCCGCCACGACCGTCTCGTAGACCTCAGCCGCTTCTTGCAGCTCACCAAGCATATGGTGACACTTCGCAACTTGTACGAGCATGTGCACCGCCGTACTCGCGTCATTCGTAAGTGTCTCATAGATAGGCTTCGCCTCCTCATATCGCTCGCACTCAAAGTACGCATCGGCGATCTCGGCGAAGAGAGGTGCATATTCAACCGGGTCTTCACGAAGTACGATGGAGGCATGGATAGCGCCCTCCTCGAAGTCGCGCAGCTTGATACGGGCGATGGCGAGACGCTGGCGGGCATTTATATTGAGTTCCCACAGACCGGCCTTGCGTTCCCCGGGTCGGTCAGGTCGACCTGGTGGGAGATCGTACTCTCTATCGTCCTTTGTTTCATCCCAGAATATATCCGCGGCACGTCCTTGTAACCAGCGTACGCCTCGTCTGATGGTATGTATAGCCTGCTCGTACTGGCCCATCGTGTTCAGCATGTCGGCGAGCGCCAAGAGCTCCATGATGCCGAAACCACCGCCTTCAAGGTTTGTGGGTCTGTCTACGCCGGCTGGGAAGATCTTCATGTGATGCCCGAAAGCTTCGGAGAAGAGCTCCGCGCATAGCGCGAGCTCGCCGGAGTCGATGAGGAGGGTACGCAGTTCTTCGAGGACCGTGAGATCGTGCGGTCTGTGCTTCAGTATAGCCAAGAATGAATTCCTCGCCTGCGAAGATGATAAGTTCGTACGCAGCAGTCATGGTTAGAGGATATCCCTCACGATGCGGGGTTGGTCGAGTTCTTTGGCTAAGAACGCGCGATCCCAGAACGCGTTGAGCCTCTCACCATCGAGGCTGCACACTTTCCCTAGACAATATAGCGACTGCTGCTTGAAGTCACGCTCTCGACTCTCATTGGCTAGAAGCTCCCACTCTTCTGCGTCATGATGTAGATGGGCACCCATGATGCGCGTCTGAAGTGCCTTATCCGCTTGCCCGAGATCTGTGAGGCAGTTCGCTAGGACGCTCCATGCAGACGCAGCACGAGGTTCAATACGAATGACCTGTGCCAGTGAGTTGGCGTATAATGATGAAACGTAAGGAGAGGTAGTACCTCTTGCATGATTTGAATAGCTTTTGCTGTGTCTCCGTCGATATACGCTTGATTGCCCTCGCCGATCATGGCCTTAACCTGTAAGGATAATACCGGACCTGTCCTCCTCCTCCCGCGCTATAACAAGAATCAGGATTCGTTCAGAGTAGCCGAAGCTTCTATAGCTACTTTCTTCGCTCCTCGCCTTTTCCCGATACCAGATGCAGCGCGCAAGTCGTCGTGGAATTGAGCATCCTGCTCGTCGGCATGTAGATCCCAGTCCTTCGTAAGAAGGGAAGAGCTGGCGTCTGCGTCCCCAATGCGGATGCTTTGAATCAGTCGGCTGTGTGAGTGTGATCAACATCATATCAACTCAGCGGTAACGTGCACAAGTGCCTACTCGAAATCACCCTCTATCTCACCCTCTATTGTAGGAGGAGCACTAGAAGGGCCAGCGACCGGCCCATTGTCGTCCCCACTATCCGTTTCCTCGGCTATATGCGTATCAGCCAGAGTCTTCTGCAGTCGCTAGGCATTTTACATGACGTGGTCTCGTCGGTGTCGTAGCCCGACGACGACGAGTACTCTTCCTCGGAGGTCATCTTGAGGGGTACTTGAAGGCAGTGCTACCAAACTGCGCAAAGCTCTTTCAAGGCTTCTATTATTATGGTTGGATTCTCAAAGAGACGGGCTTTGCCGAGATCGAAGAGCACCAGTGTGCGCGAGGAGATGAAGGCAGGAGCCAAAACGCGTCGCGACGCGTCTGGCTTGTGACCGCGAAAGAAACGTGAGCGCGCGCCTCTGCTCTCGCCACCACCTCCGCGCGCGTCCTCGCCCAACACCATGCTATCAGTCCTCCCGGCAGCGCGCTCAAAAGCGACGAGCTCATCTGCAACGACCATTCTCCAGACTCGCACGGTATCCTCGTCGCCGTATGGCCGGACGCACGTGTGGAAACACCGCCAGCGCAAACTCCCGAATCCGGTCGTGCCCCAGTTCCCGCAGCTCGTCATCCGTGCGGACGGCAGCTCCTTCACTCAATGGACAACATCACCGCGGTCATTTATGAAGCTCACACGTGACACGACCAATGCGCCATTATGGAACGTGTCGGCGCTCGCGAACGAGGGGATGCAGGAGGAGAGCGAGACCACTGGTCGTCTGGGAAGATTCAGCAGGCGGTTCGAGTCAGACGTCGACATGGACGCGCTGCAGGCAGAGGCAGAAGCAAATGCGCCACAGTCGGAGGGGAAGGGCAAAAGGTCATAGGTTCACCTGCTTCATCGTGAGTAGGCATAGGCGCTTCTCTCTGCTCCTACGACCGACTGACACTTCGATTAGTTAGTACTCCGCCGTCGCAGGATGCAGATCCCATCCGGCGTCACATATCATATAGCCTGTGTAGCTTTTTAATGCCATTGCGCTCCCTATCACGTTAGAGCATATGTCGCCTATATGAACTGACTGTTCCCGGACAGTAAAGTTGATCACCAGTCCCGGAAGGCAAGCCACAGCGGACCGCGATACGGCGAGCGTGAGATCCAACTGAATGGTCTCTGTCCGAATCTGAATACGATATGCTTCTTGTGCTTCTCATGGTGCTTCCGGCGCCTAATTGACGCCCCGCTGACAGGTTCCCTGCGTCTATCTCGAGGTTAAATATCAACATGGGACGCAGTATGCCCTCGAGCGCCGGTTCGTCTAGCACCGACACTGCCACGACCCTCCTTACCAGATAGCTCCAATGGGATCTGCGAGCCTGTTTGTGTACGCGGCGCTGGTTGTCTACCTTGCCCGCGCGTTCGCGAAGTGGAAACGCACTCTTCACCCTCTCAGGTGCGACCATACGAATAACTGTTCGCCTCTCTTACAAGCTCGCAAGCAGAACTTTGCCTGGCGCGACCACTCTATTGGAGCCTCAGATGCCTCTGAGCTTGACGCTGCCGCGTATCCCGTTCATCTCGGAGGGCGCAACATACGCGCTCGATGCAGGTTATTCCGGTATGAGCCTTTATACATAAAAACCTGTCACATATTCACACTTCCTTCGCAGACTTCGCTACAGCTGGCTGTGATGCGTACATACATGCATGTCATCATGCGAAATCGAATGTCGTGTGCGCATTGAACGATCTCTCAGACGCATATATGGGCGGGGCCAAGCGCTTCGCTGTATCTGGCAGACCCTGACGCTATCAGAGTGCGCTCCACATTCTTCTGCATCAGATGTGTTGGCTCACGCCGTCATAGGAAGTGACCACCCATCGCTCCCGCTTCCCCAAGGCCCTGAAGTTCTATGAGGTCCAGTTCCTATCCCAATGGTATCATTGTGCCACGCTCTCAATACCAACCTAGCCGCTTTCAGTCTTCGGACAGAACATAGTGGCATCAGAGGGAGAGGTATCCGCTCACACCGTCTCCTCTGGTCGCAGAATGCCATACTCATCGCGCTGCAGCAATGGAAACTGTACCGCAAGATCAGTGCGCCCGCGTTCTCGGAAGTGAGGCCCTGCCTGAGATACGCCAGCTTGTACTGATTATTCTTGCCGGCGAAGGGGAACAATGCGATGGTCTGGGATGAGACTTTTCGCATTGTACATGACCTAGTCAACAATGTCTGGAAGCGCGCTGACACAGTGCACATCGACCACGTACTGGAGATAACTCTACCGGTGCGGTTACTCGTAATTGCTGCATACGTATGGCTCACCGCTAGGTCTCCAGATCTCGCTATTCGTTATTGGTGCCGCTGGTACGAAGATATCCGATGGATTTGGTGGACGTGGCACTCATGCGATCCATAGGTTTCGGTCGACGGCTGTCATTCTCGGAAGAACTGGAGGTTCCGTACGGCTATCAGATGAACTTCAAGGACGCTCTGCAGAGTGTTTGCGAGAACATCATGATCAAACTCGCCATTCCTAGAGTTATACTCGATCTTACAAAGCGATCTCGCAAGATTAACGCAGCTTTCGATGACCTGCAGGTGATGTTCAGTCCTCATGCTGCGCTGATGTCCCCATAATTGACGCCCTGCGTATAGAAATACATGCTGGACATGATCCACTCGCGGAAGCAACCGAGTAGGGAAGAGCGTCACGACCTATTCAGTAGTCTCCTGGATGCGGCTGACGACAATTCGGATGGCGAACGCATACTGACTGACTCTGAACTCACGGGTACGACAGTAGTTTGCTGAGCACACTCGCATAAAGCTGACATTTACGCAGGCAATATCTTCATATTTCTTCTAGCAGGGCACGAGGTATGCTCAATCTACATCAACCGACGTCCCTGACTAGATGGCTCTCAGACGACTGCGCACACTCTCGCGTTCTCACTCGCGCTTTTAGCTCTGTACCCGGACAAGCAAGAGAAGCTCTTTCAAGAGATCGACCGCGTTTCGCGCGATCTTGATGGGTATCCGGTATGGCTACCGTTATTCGTCTTATCGGGCCGGCGAGTTCTGCTCACTCCGTGACGCTAAACTAGGCGTACGAGGAAATGCCCAGGTTCCCATATGCTATGGCGTGCGTGTTCTCTGCTCCCACGATCCGAAACAGGCGCTTACCACCACGTGGCAGCGTGTTTTATGAAACATTGCGAATGCGGTCAGCACGTACGCGGCCGTGTGGGTTAAGAGTACTGAGCATTGATCTACACAGGCCACCCGCCGCGACGGTTATCCCCAAATACAGCACAGAAGATACCGCGCTAAACGTGAAGGATGCTGAAGGACGCATGAGAACCATTCCCATTCCCAAAGGCACCGGCATCAACATCCATACAGTCGGTCTTCACAATAATCGTTAGTTCTGCCTTCGGACCCGTTGGAATGCCGAACTCAAATCTGAGAAATGTAGCGCGCTACTGGGAGAGCCCCGACGAGTTCATGCCCGAACGTTTTATCGGAGATTATCCCAAGGACGCGTTTCTTCCGTTCAGCGGAGGTGCTGCTGCTCACTTGTCACGTTCATGAGTAACTCACACTAACGCGACATCATTGCAGGTCCGCGCGCATGCATAGGACGGCGCTTCGCCGAAACTGAGGCGGTCGCTGTTCTAACAGTTCTCCTATCGCAATACCGCGCGCTTGTCAAGGAGGATCCCAAGTTTGCTGGAGAGTCGCATAAGCAGCGTCGGGCCCGGCTCCTGGAATGCACCAACGGCATCACCACTACGTGCGTCGAATGAGATTCGTCCGTCAATATACATGTACACTGATTACACTCTGTGTAGGCCCGCCCACATACCGCTCACGTTTGAGCGGCGCGTGCCGATCTAGGTTTCGCGAGACCGGTATATCATCTTGAGTGAGATTGCATGTGTGAAACTTGTGTCAGCCTTGTCGTTCTTGCATTGGTCGCTGAATGACGCTGTATCCCGTCTCCTTAGGCGAATTGTGCGTTTGGTATACTGTACAAACAGTCTTACGCAGCGGTGTGTTCCTTTTCGGAGTTCAGGATAGTGTGGAATTCAACGGTCTGGTTGATACAGATGTCCCGCGAAGCCCGAAAGCGTGGGATTACCTATACAGTCGTCGAAGAACTCTCATTCCATCCCCTTGATTGAAGTCCCATGGCCTCGAACAATACTCCGGGACGCCCGCTTTACGCTCTGCTTCTTTCATATCCATCTGCGCACTAGAACTGAAGGCAGCATCTGTGCTGACAGAATGTTCCCACTCCCCTTCACTCTCCTCTACACCTCCAATACGCCTCCTAGATGGGCTCACTCAGCAGCATACGTTTTCTCGCGTACGCGACCCTCGCCTTCGGTCTTGCCCAATTGTGGACAAAGTGGAGGAGGGTGGCTCGTTCGGTCGGGTGCGTTTAGGTGCAAACGGTCTGCTTCGACAGCGACTACAAAGAGCATGCAAATAGGAATCTGCCCGGTCTCGTCACGATCTTCGCGCCTACAACTCTAGCAAGCAACCTGTTGCCTCGCATTCCCTTGATCACGAAAGGAAGATCTCGAGAGATCGAAACGGGATACGCAGGTGTGTGCTTTGGTTGTAATAGTTCATGCACATTGAGGTGCTGATTTCGGCCGTAGACTTCGCTGTTGCTGGCTGTGATGCATTCGCTCACGTACGTGCTCCCCGAGATCCTTCTGCATCAATCGTTGACTTCAGGCAGAGATCGACGTGGCCGAGGCCTGATGTTATGCTGTATGTGGCCGACCCCGGTGCAATCAAAGTTGCGCCAATGTCTCCCGTCATGCGGAGATTACGCTGAAGCCCATACAGGAGATCACGACCTACCGTTCTCGCTTCCCCAAACCAGTGGAACAATATGGAGTGCGTTGCATCCTGAAGTCTCAGTCATCGAAAGATCATATTCATCGGTGCTTGTGATCTGGATGTAGGTTCTTGCGTTTTACGGCAATAACATCGTAGCATCTGAGGGAGAAGTGCGTTGTTCAACGCTCACACTTTGTGCGTCGATTTACTCACAGAAATACAGGAGTGGAAGCGATACCGAAAGATCAGCGCGCCCGCGTTCTCTGAAGTGAGCCTCGCAATATGCCGTGTTCGTAGTGTTGCTCATATACACCCTGCGAAGAGCAACAACAAACTTGTATGGGATGAAAGCGTTCGCATCCTCCTTGACATGATCGAGAACGTATGGAACCGCGCGAGTTCTGTGTCCATTGACCACGTTCTCGAGGTTACTCTGCCGGTACGTATCGTTCCAATCGCATCTACCGGCGCGCATGTCAATGTACTGACCGCATTATCTCCAGATTACCTTGTTCATCATCGCCGCTGCTGGTGTGTCGCTCCTCGTATCTGGCGATGATAGGTTACTGAATAGCCGTGTAGGCTTCGGCAGGCGTATGTCGTTCACCGAAGAACTTACGGTCCCCCCCGGCTTCACGATGACCTTCAAGGATGCGCTTCGCGTCGTCTCTGAAGGCGTGCTGATCAAGCTCGCAGTACCAAAACGTGCTTTAGGGCTCACCAAGAGGTTCCGCGAGGTCGACATCGCGTTTGAGCAGCTACAGGTGCCTTGTGACCCGCATCTATGATCTGAGTGCGCTTGATTGAGACGCGAACAGAAGCATATGTTGCACATGATCAGGTCTAGAAAGCAGTCGCCCGGGGAGGACGGGGGCCACGACCTGTTCAGCAGTCTCCTCGGCGCAGCCTTCAATGACGCAGACGATGAGCCGACACTGGCAGACGATGAGCTTATGGGCTAGTTCATATTCCTCATTCCGATGCGTCGCTTACACATCTGACAATAGGCAATATCTTTGTCTTTCTGCTCGCTGGGCACGAGGCAAGTTCGCCGCCTGACCTAGATCCAGACCCAAGCTCATTACGAGTAGACCACGGCGCACAGCCTCGCCTTCTGCTTTGCACTCCTGGCTCTCTATCCTGAGAAGCAAGATAGACTGTTCGAGCACATCAAGAGCGTCATGTCGGATCTAGATCACTTCCCAGTCAGACTTTTGGCCAACTACTTCTTCGCACGGCGGTTGACTCGCCCCCACTTCTAGCAATACCAAGATATGGCGCGTTTTACCTACTCAATGGCGTACGCGAGTCTTACCAAAGTCACCTGGATGTTACAGCTTATGCCACTCATCTAGCGTTTTCAACGAGACGTTGCGCATTCGGTATGTCGTGCACAGTTCTATGTACCGTGACGACGTCTTGATGATGATCCAGGCCACCTGTTACGGTCATCCCAAAGTATAGCGAGGAGGATACGACCTTAAATGTAAAGGATGCCGAAGGACGGACCAGGACGATACCTGTACCCAAGGGCACTGCCATCAATATACATACACCTGGACTTCATAACAATCGTATGTTTGCGCTTGAGCTGCGATCTTCATTCGTGCTCACAGCTAGGTATACAGCGCACTACTGGGAGAGCCCTAGCGAGTTCATACCTGAACGTTTTCTGGGGAACTATCCTAAGGACGCCTTTCTCCCATTCAGTGGAGGGAAGTCATCAGCACGATGTCATCTTGTACGAGCTATCCTGACGCCATGTCCACAGGACCTCGCGCTTGTATCGGACGACGTTTCGCTGAGACTGAAGCGGTCGCCATTCTGACCATCCTCATGTCGCAGTACCGCGTCCATGTGAAGGAAGACCCGAAGTACGCTGCAGAGACTCACGCGGAGACGCATGCCCGACTACTTCGAAGTGTGAACGGCTTGACCACTACGTGCGTGATTGAGCAGCGCTTTTACCAGAGTTCTCCGCGTTGATTGAGCTTCATACAGACCTATCGACATACCGCTAACCTTTGAGCGTCGCATGTGAACGGTGGAATGATATAGAGGGGCCTCCTGCGCTAACTAGTGGGGCATGCAGTCATATTGATTATAGCAAACATATGATACAGAATACAAGCAGATGATAGCATTCAAGATCAAAGGCAAGAATATAAACGTGCACGCGTCGAGTCTCTCAGTAGACCACAGGCTTGCCGAGCTCACTCGTGTATATCTCCCTTCCTACCCCGATGATGTACGCCTTCTCCCTCTCGCGCACCATCCCAGTTGGCCACTCATCTTCCATACAAAGTCTGTGAACGGACTTGTCCTTGCCCTCTGCTATCCTCTTCTTCTCGAAGTAGCAGTAAGCGCCTGCAATGGTATAACACGTTAGCTTATGGACTCCGTTGCGACAGCATATGTGCTCACCATAGTATACTCGACTGGTACTACCAGACGTCGCACCTTCCTTCGTTTGAAAGTCCGACAACTGCTTGCTCTGTATCCTTGGCGGGTCGTCCGGCCAGCCGGCGCGCGCTATATCACGTAGAAACGCGGCTTTGGTCTGACCGGTGATAGTCAAGTGTATGTCGATCTTCTTGCGGATCTCGTCGCAGGTATCGTACATCTCGACAGTCTCGTCTTCCTCTCCGTCGAGCTCGATAGAGAAGATCTCGTCCGCGGTCGCCGAGCGGGCAGACGAGGGGTTTGAAGACGAGGCGGACTTGGACTTGCTGCTGGACTTCGAGGACTGGGACGTCGACTTTGCTTTCTTCTGCGCGGGCTCATCGTCGTCCTTCGTGCCCTCTTCTGACTTGCGCTTTTTCTAGAGACAAGTATTAGCAACCGTACGCAAGCCTGAGTAAGACTACAAACCCCAGTTGCGCGGCCAGCCTTCTTTGCCTCCTTCGCGGCCGCCTGCTCCTCCTTCTTCCTCATGTACTCCAGGTTCTCCGGCGCCGTGAGCAGGATTGGGTTCGGCAAGTCGCAAGGTCTGAAGTGCATGTTGCTCGTTGCTGACGCGGGTGACGGATGATGATGGTTGGTTACCAAGTAAAGGTCTGGGCACCTCTGGACTATATACCGAATTTCATATGAGCCGGCGCCTGTGGCGCTCGTAGCCGACGCGGGCGTGACTGCGTTGATCGCCGCGCGCCGTGTGTCATTGTGGCCCCATGCCATCAGCGGCCTGGGCAATGCAGTCCTCGGGCTACAATTGCAAAGATAGATTCGTAAGGTATACGGAGGGGTATTACACAGGACACAGCACTATAACGTACACGGTATGCAAGATATGAAATAGATAGGAAGCAAATGATCAAGATGTAAGGTAGCAAAGCCAGTCAGAGCAAGGCATCAAAGTGGGCGCTCGATGTGCGCGCTCGATGTTCATTTGTAAGTGACGCCGCCGTACGCGTTGACGACAGGAGTCTCGCCAGGCGCACACCAGAAACCACGTTGTGCAGTGCGTTCCAAGCCCAACGCGCCCCACTGCTTCTCCATACCGTTCCTGTGGCGGGACTTGTTCTCGCCCTTAGCGACCCGCAACTTTTCGAAGTAAACGTATGCGCCTGAGAAAAGAGAAGATTGCGTTTAGCGCTCGAGGGCCTGCATCGGAAGCGCGTGCGAATGAAACACACCGTAGCAAACCTTGCTCGTGTTGCCGGCCTTGGGGCCCTTCTTGGTTTGGAAATCGGTGAGCTGCTTGCTCTGGATCTTCGGCGGATTCTTTGGCCACCCGGCGCGCGCGATGTCGCGGAGGAATGCGGTCTTATTTTAGCCGGAGACGTCCAAGTGGACGTTGATTTTCTTGCGGAGCTCGTCGCAAGAGTCTGCATGGTCACCATCAGGAACGAAGAGCGTTATCTGCCAGTGAGCATGCCTACCGAGAAGTGGCACTGTCTCGTCGTCGTCGCCCTCGAGAGTGATGGAGAATGGGTCGGCGTTCTTGGACTTGGCTGTGAGCGTAGTCTGGGTGGCGCCCTTGCCGGCCGCCTTCTTCGCCGGTGTGGTCTTGGCCTTCTTCTTGGGCGCAGGAGCGTCCTCCTCGTCTTCGAAGGCATCCTCGTACGCGTCTTCTTCGTCAGACTCGTCGGCCTTGCGTTTCTTCTGCAAAATAAACGGTCATCGACACGCCCATGAACCAGTATTTACGCGTCGACTTACAGCTGCGGACGCGCGCTTCGGCCGGGCGGCCTTGACGGGCTCTTTGACCACCTCGACTTCGTCCTCTTGCTGCGAGATAGCGGTGTTCTCAGAGTCAGACATGGTGAAAGGTAGGATGCTAAGATGGTGGCGGGTCGTGAAGAACCGGGTTGGGAGCTGCAGCCTGCGCCCTACTTAGCCGCGCAGCGCGTCACTTCGTTGAGCGGGGCGTGACCGCGTCGCGTCGTGAATCTTATCTTATCTTATCGCGTTGCTGGCTGGCGAGAGCCGTCGTGCGACCAGCTAGTTCTGTCTGTCGCCAGCTCCGTATAGACATAGACCTCCAAAAATATGTTCATCCGTCACCATTCATGTTGTTCTCCATGAAGGTATGGATATCGCTGGGTTCAATCTAGGCGTCGAGGGCCACAGCTGGTGTCATCCCATTCGAGCTGTGGACGGGATATAGATGCTGATCCACGAGAATACGAGGGTGAAAGTCTGAGCAAAAGCGTCAGCCCGAGGCGGGCCCGAGTGAGAGACTCTGCTGGCCGTACATGGTGAAGAAACCTCGTCGGCGAACGGCGACCGACTGCTATGTAGACTCGCCGCGCCCGGCGGAAAACGCGAGCGTACAGTACGACACCTATTGTGGAGGGCGGTATACATAACATGAGGCAAGCAAGCCAGGTGGGGTTGACATTCATTCTGCAGCGGCAACCTGAACGGGGAGATCTGCGCGTCAGTATGGCAGCAATATCGGCAGTCTGCTATACAAGACGCTGACAGAAGCGAGCCCTGGCAACGAGAGGCATCCGGTATAACATACCCCAGTTGGCGTTGATCGAGGTACATCACACGAGACAAAGAGTTCAGGAATCTGTAGAGTATGTCTAGAATAAGATATCGGGAGTATGGCACCTATACCAAGCGCTTGACCTCCTTCACAAGCTCGTCATCCTTGACCGGTGCCGGTGCCGGCGCATCCCCCTTCGTCACGACCGGTTCCTCAGCCTTGACGACCTTCTCCGCCTCCTTGACCTGCGGCTCGGCCTCAGCCTTGACAGCTTCAGCCTTCCCCTTGGTCGCCTCCGCCAACTCCTCGACCTTCTGCGCGACGATGACCTCAGCTTTCTTCGCCGCGGCCTTTCCACCGCCAAGCACTTGGCCCAGCTTCAAGCCCGTGGTCTCCTCGACCTTCTTCACAACCCCCTCAGTCTTCTCGACCGTCACCCTCCGTCCATTGCTGATAGCATCCACAGCCCTCGCCCACGTCATTTGCGAGTGCGCAATGGCAGTATTATGTACGTCGGCGAGGCCGGGAGCATGTTTCTCCTCGAGCTCGGCGAAGTAGGCGCGGACGTTGGACGTCGTTTGAGGGAGGAAGTGCGAAGAAGCGGCAACGAAGAGAGTGGGCGGGAGGAGCGTGCGGATGACGATGTTGCGACCGCGAGCCAGGACAGAGCCAGAAAGGGCGGCAACACCGATGTACAGTAGGCCGGGGTTGAGTTGTTCACCGGGCGCGTGCAATGCTTTTATGCGTCCTGTGAAGTGTCAAGTCGATGTTAATTATCAGTACAAAGTGAAGTATAGATATAACGTACGCTCGATAGAATGCTCAACCTCAATCCAGCGCGACACTACGCCATGCACCTGGCCATAGGCGTCAGCGTACAGCGCCTGCACATGTCTCCGCGCAACGCCGATGTGCTCCTCTAGCGCCGAGGTCTGCTCGACGACCACAATTTCCCGTTCCGGCAACGGGTATATAGGGAGCTAGCCAAGAGTTAAGATATATTCAAGCGAGGCTTATGACGCTACTCACCTTTTGACCGGACATGGTGAGTGCGAAGGTGAGGTTCGCGGAACGGCGCGCGCGGGACCGGGTGCCTTCGCGTTCACACGTGAGTTTCGCGACGCACTCCGAGGGACAAATCGACGCGACTTCGAGGATTGTCGAGGAAGGTAGCTCAGGGTATCTCGCAAGTGGAAGATACCCCACACGTATCATACAGGGCTTAACGTCAAATGCTGAATGGTACATTGACATGGAGTCTACACTACTGAGGCCGCCCACACCGCTTTCTTCATATTATCCCTGACATACCCCACTCGACTCCTCTCCGCGTCGTCTTCGACGGCCCAGCTCCCTTCGTACCCCATAGCATATCCGATACGCCCGTGTATGCTCAGCGAAGGGCGCCAAAACATCGCTGATGGACGTGTGTTCGGCTTCTCGTGCTCTCGCTTCTTCTGTCTGCGCATACGTCGACGTGCAGTCTCAGAGACAGCTGTTGAAGCCGGAGGAGTATCGAGCGTCGAGAAAGACAGCAACGGACAAGCTGAAGCCACTCTCGCCTCGTGTGGTGATGGCTTTGCCGAAGAAGTGAGCTGGAGTCGCACCGGAGGGATCGAGCGAGGACGTTCAAGCAAAGCCAATGGTGGTGGAGTATCAGGCAGGGCTGCCTGAATTTCTAACACCGTGGACGGTAGGCGCGCCTGTTGCGTGAGAATCAGTACTTGCATCGCCCCAGACTATGAGAAAATATTTTTACTGCAGTTATAGCGCGTCCTTCTCGTATAACCCAGTCATGATCGACGGCGGTAGCCGCAGCTCGTTGGCGCCTCAATTGGATTGAATTTTCGTCGTCTTCACAAGGCGGGCCTTCATTGCTAGGTTCTTATAAGCTATCATCCTTAAGTCATGAGAGACAAAGACGGTAGTATACTTGATCTCAGGATGAGGCTTCGGTAACAAGTTGTACTCCCGTACAGGCGCCGAAGAAAGCAGGCGGAAGGCTACCAAAGCATCAACGAGCCATTCGCAGTGCATGTCATGTGTCAAGACGCACAGACAACACTTGACGTCGTATGAGACACTTCAGTGTCTGTGTCCTTTCTCTTCCGCTTCTTGCGAGGCGGCTCAGATCCAGCAAAGTCGCCAAGAGTACGCTTCACAAGTGCGTCGAGCTTATGCACATCATCGATGTTCTTAGCATCAATGGCATTCTCCGTATCAGACTCAAGGAGATCAGATCTAGAGATGACTTCGAATTGCTCTGCTCGTAAGTGGGGATTTGAGAAGCGCGGAAAGTTCATGGTGAGCGTCGAGATGAAGTCCGTGCAGAGCAGCGCGAGTGCATGAAGCGCGTTCGGCCCGTGCTTCCGGAGGCGCGCCGCAAGATTTTCTGCGAACCGCACGCGGCTTGCTCTCAACGTTCAGCTCTACTCCTCGGTTCTGGTTCAGGTCTCTTTGTTGTACTTGCTTGTTGTGCTTGTACTACACTTCTCAACATGTCTACTGAAGCACCAACAAAACGCCGTAAATCCAAAGGCGACAAGACCGCCGCTGCAACCGAGCCTGCGCCTGCACCCGCTACTACTACTGTTGAACCCGAGTCTATTGCTACTGCCGTCAAATCCTCGCGTAGAGACCGTAAGAAAAAGGCTAGACACTCTACTGCTTCTGAGGTCGACGTGACTGCTGCCGCGGAGGATATTGAGGCTGAGGGTGGGAAGAAGGAGAAGAAGAGGAAGGCGGCGGAGGTTGAGGCTGAGGCGCCGGTTGAAGAGGGAGAGGGCAAGAAAAAGAAGAAGCGCAAGTCGCAGGCTGCCGAGGAGTCTGTCGCAGCGCCCGCTGAGCCTGCTGCCGAGCCTGCGCCTGAAGCTGCTCCCAAGAAGGAGAAGAAGCGCAAGGCAAAGGCGGCCGCGGAAGATGCCGCACCTGTCGTCGAGATTGCTGCAGCAGCTGAGGAACCTGTCGCACCTACGCCGAAAAAGGAGAAGAAGCGCAAAGCGAAGGCTACCGAGGACTCCACACCCACCGTCGTCGAAGATGTTCCCGCTCCCGCCGCCGAGGACGCGTCGAGCTCCACCGCGCCCAAGAAGGGCAAGAAGAAGGACAAAAAGGGCGCCACGGCAAAGGCCACGGAGGTTGCGACGTCCAGTACCGAAGCCGTAGTTTTGGTCGCCGCTGATGAGGCTCTCAAGTCGGCAGCCGCTGTTGAGAAGGAAGTGGAGGTTGTCGCCAAGGAAGTGGAGACTTACGTCGAGACACCAGCGGCCGTCCCAGCAAAGTCTTCGAAGAAGGCGAAGAAGGCTGCCGCATCCGCTACGGACGTTCCTGCCGTCGCTGAAGCTATCGCCGAAGCCCCCGCTGCGTCTACGCGTGCAAAGACCTCAAAAAAGGCGGCGAAGAAGGCAACGGCAACAGTCACGATCGAGGAGGATGCCGCTCCCGCGTCGACAGTCGCCGTCGCTGCGGCATCCGTCGTCGTACCCGCGCCTGAAAAGAAGTCGAAGAAGCGCAAGTCCGTGACCATCGACGAGGATGCCCCTATGCCTGAGTCTTCATCGCCCGAAAAGGCGCCTGTCTCTATCCTGAAGAAAACCAAGAAGACGGCCGCCACCGCGACGCCCGCGAAGACGAAGAAGGGACCTCGTGCCCCCTCGCCGGCGCCCGAACCGTCCGGTTCTGACGACGATGAGGCTATGCCTGCTTCACACGAGGAGGAGGCCTCAGCGGACGCACAGGAGAGCGACGAGGACTCGGAGGACCTGCATCTACGTGGGTTTTCGACGGACGAAGACTCGTCTGACGAGGAGATGGAGGACGACGAGCCGGGCGTGGACGTCGGTACTCTTCCTACAATCGATCGCGATGACAAGACCGTCAAGCGGAGACTGGAGAAGGCCAAACGGGAGAAGGTTTGTGCTCGTGTCTTTCGTACTCTCAATGGATCTCGATGCTAATGCGCTCCTTAGAACGTTGACCGTGGTGTTATCTACCTCGGCAGGATACCTCACGGTTTCTACGAGGACCAGATGCGCGCATACTTTTCCCAGTTTGGAACCGTTACTCGCTTGCGCTTGTCTCGAAGCAAGAAGGTATGCATGACTCCTGTCCAACTTTCTACCTTGTAGCTTACAATTGTCCCGCCTTCAGACTGGCCGCTCCAAGCACTACGGCTTCATCGAGTTCGACTCCTCGGCCGTGGCCCAGATCGTCGCCGAGACGATGGACAACTATCTCCTTCTCGGCCATATCTTGCAATGCTCCGTGATCCCTCGTGATGAGGTTCACCCATCACTCTGGGTTGGCGCGAATAGAAAATACCGTGCAGTGCCTCATGACCGCCTTGCGCGCGTATCGCACAACAGGGAGCGGGATGGCGTCGAAAAGGCCCGAGCGGAGAAGCGGTTATTGAAACGCCAGGAGGCGCGTAAGCGCAAGCTTGCGGACGCTGGCATCGATTACGACTTGGAGGGTGCTGCATACGTGAGTGTTGCTCTTCTGAATACGGATTATCCCGTGAGAGCACTGTCCTGATTGACCTCTATAGAAAAAGCCGAAAGCAGTTGAAGCGGCGACCTGAGAAAGGCTATATGACGCTTTCGATGTACTCCTGTCTTTCAGTTCCACGCCGTGCTGTGGTCGGCCGGACACGATGGTGTTGATCTTTACTGATTATGTCACACGATGTTTGTCCTCGGACGCACTTTCCGAGGCCTGTGAACCTGTTCGGTCGTCAACCCATCGTCTGCTTTCGCAAGAGCACTGCGCTATGAGATTGTCCGCAACATGCACCTTCTTCCCAAGTGAGCACAAGATGGCGACAGCGGCTGCGTTAGGCAAAGTTACGACTGAGCCTCCGGCGGCGCTGCGTCCGTACAATGCGCTGTCTTTCTCTTGCGATCTTTCGAAGATGAGGAGTGCGAGGATGGCGACAGCGACTGCGCCAGCTATGGCAACTTACGACTGAGCATCTGGTAGGCGCTGCTTTGTTCACGGCACGCAGCTCCATGTTTCCATGTTTCGACAGCACTTCTGATGTCTTCTTTTCTTTCTTCGGAAGAGAGCCGCTGTAGTGCTTTGTTCTGCCCGCCCCTTCTATGTTCTCCGCCGAAGTATGTCTGAGCGTGCAAGCCGCGTGTAATGGCCGCAGCCAAACTCGCGTGACCGCGACACGGCCGGGCCCGAGGCACGCGAAGCATGCGGCAACTCGGCGAGCGAGCTTCTCTCACCCTCCGCCGAAGCCATCTCACCGACACGACTTCTGTGCACGGCCTCATCCTTCCATCCGTTCTATCAGACCTTCTCTTTCTCCTTGCATCTGACGCCCCGTAGCTAACGCTCCCGCTAACAGCATCCATGCCCAAAGGCTCGAAGCCAATCTTCAGCTGCCTCGCGGGTCGGCCATGAATAAGCCGCTGACCAAAGCATGCATTCTTTGATCTGCTCTGCGCTCGCTAACCACGCTCGCTCAGCGGCGGCGCTTACCTTAGAGCCCGCTGACAGCTCGTTTCACAGCCAGTCAAGCTGCTATCGGTGACACTGCTACGCATATATAACGGCCATGTTCGAGATTCGAGAAAAATCAGCTCCAGCAGCCCAACCAACTCTCTTACAACTCCTTCAACCAACTCGCTCTTCTCTCAGATATGCCTGCCACCGTTCTCATTGCTGGTGCCACCGGTACGTTCCCAAGCTTTCTCCGCATTAAGCATCCCACTGATCGGCTTCTGCAGGTCTCATCGGTGCCTCTGTCCTCCAGACGATCTCCAAGGACTCGAAGTACGACATCACCGCCCTCGTCCGTTCTGAGGACAAGGCGAAGAAGGTCGCCGAGATCACTGGCGTCAAGACCATCGTCGGCTCGCTCGAGGACACCGAGCTCCTGACTAACAAGGCTGCCGAGTTCGACGTCGTCCTCCAGATCGCCGACATCTTCAACC